TCTTCGACTCTGAAGATGGAGTCAGTAAGTTCTTCAGAAACAACGAGCCTACTCAGAACTGTACAGTGTTACAACCCCAGATGACCATACTCTTCATAGTTACCATCATGGAAACCTGAAATTCAGATATATGGTAAACACCATTCAGCTCCATTTAGTACCAAGATTGTGAAAGATATGGAGATATTTCTCCCTTCCCCCATACATATTCACGATGTGATGATTAATTAAGCAGAGGGGCAACTTTATCTTTACTTCAGTTATTACAGTACACACACACATTTGTGTCACAGTGGAATGTGTGCATGTGTATATACACAAATATGTGTGCACAACTACACACGTCTGCAAATTCAGGGGTTAAAGTGGGCAGTGAATTAAAGGTGTAACTGTATGTTAGTAATATTGTGTTTAAATGTCATTTTGTAAGTTTTCAAAAAATTTTCTGTGAGGACACACTTTTGTCTGCTACATGTTATGGTCAACATCTCCGGCACAGAGATGATAGTGACCCTTTGCATGTTCAAGGATGTCTTCAAAGAAAACATGGTATTTATTACTGAATTTGCTTTGGTAAGTTTACATATGCATCTTCCTCACAATATACTGAATACTCAGGATATTCTCAAATGCTAAAAGGGTAATGTCTGAATAAATCAAGTACCTATCTTGTGCATGATGTATGAGCGATTATTTTTATTGATTTGTCACATTTAAAAATATTTAAGGTATTTTCTTAAAATCAAAATATCAGTTATCTTTTGAATGTCCTTTCACCACAATAATTTGCTCATCTCTCAACAGACAAATTTTACAAATTTTATTGCCGAAGCTCTAAAATATACCAATAAATTCCATGTTGAAGAAAAGATGATAACTACTCATCTAACCAAGAAACTCTCTTCTTTCATGAGGCCTAAAGTTCATTTCAAACCACACTTCTCTCTAAGATTAATTTTAATATCGTCCTCCAGTCTACACCTATGTTTTTGAAATGATCACTTCTTCTGTGGTTTTCTGAATAATGCTTTGTATGCAATCTAATATTTCCCGTGTTAAATCTCTCATCTTCCTTAATTTAATCATCCTCACAATACTAGATGAAGAGTACAAATTATGAAGCATCCCATCATACAATTTTCTCCATCCTCTTATCTCTTAAATCTAGGTATTCTTGTCATCTCACTTTTAACAACCCCCATCTGATTCATGATAGGGTCCAGTGAACATCTTTATTACATAAGTGATAATAGTTTCTCACAGAGGACACTGCTTCATGCAGTTAATTGGATTACTAGTATTGAAATAAATAAAATGAAGAGAATTATAAAGTGAATTTCTATTTCTGCAGAACTTTTATAATGCAATACAGGGGCGCATTAAAATGGATTTAGCACATAGTTACGTTAAAAAAATTGTATAACATAATTTTAATTATTAAATTTAAGCATTCTCTATGTGCAGCTTATAATGCAGTGTCTTTCACAGTGGACTTGTCTACCCCACTGTCTGTCTGTCTATTTCCATGGCTCACTGCAAACAATCAGACAAATTCCTAAAACTGAAGGAGATACCGGAATCCTATCAACTTGCGGTGGCCTGCAAGTCTGTTATTGGAAATTTGTCTAGACAATGTCTAGAAGTAATCTCAGACAAACTCAAAAGTTATGAAGACTTTAGGCAAGCGTCTCTCAGTATCTGGTGGTCTCCATTCCAGCAAAGTTTAGTCAAATGTGATATATGTCAGGGAAAATATGACTGATGGTCAAACCTAACGCCATCTGATCACTTCCTCAAGTATGCCTCGATGGCATCCCATGTTTTACCCAGGCCATCTGATACTGAAGTGATAGAAGTTATTTGCTATCACTTCCTTATACACATACAAAGGGTCATGCTAGGGACACAGTTATGTACTGTAGGGGGAGCCCTGGACCTACTGAAGATATGAATTGATGGATGGACAAGACTCCTTCCATAGGCCAACAAATAATGCCCTCACACAGAACACGAATATTAGTGGATCAAGACCTCTACGAAATAATCTGACGGAAACAGAGTTCAAGGGCAAGTCTGACATATACAGAGGTACAACCACAAGAACAGAAACCAACGCTACAACCCCAGACAAAATCCTTATAACTCAAGAAGAGATGGCATTTCAGACGATAAAGAGACACAGAATCCACGACGTAGAAGTTCGTCTGATCAAGGACAAAGAGGAGAACATCCAAGGAGTAGATGTAGAATCCACAACTCGGGAAACTAAATGCAGGAGGCATTAAGGACCGAACATAAGGACCTGAACATAAGACCCCCATGATTTGCGGTTCACCTGCCCTTGTTAACTTGAGTAATGATCTTAAGAAACGGTTGGTAGGAACCATTGATAGTGAGGATATTGAGAAGTCAGAAGCTATAGTATTCTCACACACAATAATACAGTTCTGTCAACAATGCAACTATTTTTACTCTTTCCTCTCACTTTCCCTTTTACAACATGTTTCGGCCTCAACCAGCCATCATCAGGTGTTTTAATTTGCCAAAACTGTTATACTGTATTGATGCCACTCATTCACTTCACATGTAACATTAATTAATCTACCATACACTGTAATTCACTTCTGTTAAAATTTATTAACAATTTTTTAAATGTTTGTATTGTTTATTATTGAAGAAAGTTTATCAAAAATTCCGCTAGTAGAAATCATTTTAGGAAATGATATGAAGGTTAGAGCTATCCTAGATTCAAGTAGTGGAGTGAATTTATTAGCAAAAAGTGTTTATGATAAGATAATTAATTCATGATCAGATATTCCCACCTTACCTCTAGAAAACGTAATATTAGTAACAGCATTTGGGAAACGATCTAATAGAGTTAAGAAGCAGGTGATGATAGAATGCACTGTAGGGAGAGATTTGTTTGAAGGTAATTTATTCATATCCCCACAGATTGTTAATGAAACAATTTTAGGTTGGCAGTTCTTGCAGGAATGTGGTATAAGTTTAAATTCTGAGAGAGAAAGCTTTATATATTTTAAGAGAGGAAATGTAAAGAACATTTGTTCTATGAGCCAGCAGGAACTTTGGAAGTTGGACACAGCAATTGACGTTCAGAGGAAACTAATACCCCTACTCACTCCCACTACGTGTGGTTGTAAGTGTAAACAATTAAAGTTAATTGTTTTCTTAGCTAAGGAGGAGTTTCAGTGTTTGCTAGTGTTTCCTCTGCCCCGTCGAAGCAACGCCCGTTAAGACCAGAGACAGACTTCTCATGTTTGTCCATTAACATCGATCAGTGCAACCCCACAATCCCTCTTAACCCACGTGTAACTTTATGTTTTCTTTGAGCGCAGTTGTTACCTCTCCATCTTGAACCTTCCAACTACACAGAAGGACTCTAAGTGTGCAGTGGGGGTGAACAAAAATACAAGTGGGAATAAGAGAGGAGACAATGCAGAGGTGAAGTGTTGATGTGTGAGAAGCTAAAGGACAGTTATCGAAGTGGTCGCATAACGCGTGGTTATAGACAAATGCAGAACAGTTAAAGAGGGGCAAAGCAAAGGTCTGGCTTTAAAATGACGCAAAATAAACAGTTAAATTGATCATAGTAAGTGAAAATATTCAACTTTGTATGACTTGAAAGGATTCTGACAATGGTGTATACTGTACTTCTTTTGGCTTGTTTTGGACTTCATCCATCGTCTGGTATATAAAAGACAAAAGACCATGATTGACCAGTGATTGAGACTAGCTCTTTCTAACGGGCCCAACTGAGTAGGTTTATCCTTCCCTATCCACCTGAAGATGCAGACAGATCCAGTCTCTGAAATGTTGCCGTCTTTTGCGTTTTACATACCAGACGATGGATGAAGTCCAAAACAAGCCAAAAGAAGTACAACTTTGTATGAGTTACATTATTTACTGAGTATAATCAACAAAAATTTACAACCAATATTTATTTAAACATGAGCACATCCGTTGAATATGTTACACACATGTAATATATGAATATGCAAGTTGCAGAAAACATTATTCCTTCAAGCAAGAATATTTTAAAATTTAAGATTGTGAGTCAATGCAGGCAGTCCACTTTAATAAACAGTCTCTTGCTACATACATACACTGAACAATTTCACTTCTTGAAGTCTTCCATTTCATCGTTCCACTTAAAAAGGAGAAGGCTTTCATGATTGATGAACTATACAAGGAAACTGTTGGTACAAGTAGTATCATGTTTTGAACATTGTCCGGAGATAGAGACTAGCTCTATCTACTGGGTCCAACTGAGTAGGTTTCACCAGAAGACGGAGGCAGAATCAAGTCTCTGAAATGCTCTGTTTTGAAAAATAAACAGGACGATTTTTAAACATAGACAAGACGCTGGATAATGTCCAAAAACATGATACTTGTAGCAATGTACCATCGTGACAAACTTTTAGAAACGGTTGGTGTTAACACATCAGAACCTACCTACTTCTACCCATCAAGACATTAAAGAACAGCAGATACAAAATGATACAAAAAAAGAAACAAAGAAACTTTCACTGAAAAAGTACATAACACAGCTGTCTCATTTCCATCCACTGTGGCTGACATGCAGCAAAGTCTATGCATTATGCATTCGCACTATGAGACGTGTCGTTTAGTGCTCAATGCGATTGTATTAATAAATATTTAATCAATTTTATGGGATGTTACAACCTTAACTTATCTACCGAAGGCCACGCTATAGCTCAAGCGGTTAGTCGCTGGCTTCCCACCGCGGCGGCCTGGGTTCGATCCCGGGTCTGGTCAAGTGGGATTTGTGGTGGACACAGTGGCGCTGGGGCAGGTTTTCTCTGAGTACTTTGGTTTCCCCTGCCAATCTTCAGTCCACCAATTGCTCCACAACCACCCTCACCTATCATCTGGGGCTGGTACAATAGGCCAGAAGTGGCTGCAGTACAAGGGACTCAGTCCCACCCCACTAGCAATTAAAAAAGAAAACCTACTAAGCTTACAAATAAAAACACCAAAACACATTCTGACAAAGGTCCACTAATTGAAATTATTTTAAGGTCATAAGTATTTTTCAACAAAGTTCTGAGCAAGAGAAACCCTTACATTATTTCAAGAACAACTATATGAATTGAGTTCTTCAAGAACATACATTAATAAATGGTTTGCCAAAATTGTGTGTCATACTGTGTTAAATGGTACCGATACATCTACAGCACCACTAACTTTTCTGGCTTATCTTAGTGTACAAATAGATAAAAGTAATATTATCAATATTAAAAGGCTTATTTTAGACCCTGAAAATGGCATCACGGTATATGACTATTATGATTAATTATGACAGTCTTATGCATCCTTCTTGGGTTCATCTCCAGCATCAATCTTGTCCTGAAGTACACTATATTCTTCATTCAAGCAATCATATTTCTTATTAAGAGAGACTACTTGATTTTTCAATGTCTCCTTATCCTCCTTTTCCCTCTCCAATGATTTCTCTGCTTTGGCCAGTTTCTCCTTTAACTCTATTACTTCCTTATCATGAGCTTCATTTGTGTTATTTTGGTACGCGCTTGTCAGATTTTGTGCCAACGAACTCAGTGTGGTTGCTGCAGTAGATAGTACCTGCCACATTGCTGCTTCACTTTGTGCCAGAAGCGATGCCTGTTCAGATATTAGAGTCAACAACTGATGGATGATTATGCACAAGAACAGGGCAAAGCCTGATATGTAATAATTACGTTGGGCTCGAAACAGGCGCATGTTTACCTGCAGTTCTGCATCAAGATGTGCGTGGGTTGCTTCTCTTGTCTCCGGACTGGAGTATTTTATCATCTCACGGATAGCGTCCAGGCAAAAAAGGCCGAGTATAGGCAACGGAACAAGGAAATAAATTGATGCTTGATTACTTAGAGCTTGTAAAAATCGCAATATTATAATTTTATACCATCCCTGGCGTGATGCAAGCAACAATAAAATTAGCGAAACTACAGCTATTTCGACGTACAAGAAGGTTGCAATAAGTGTCCAATGAAGACTCATCTTAATTTCCCAAGAAGTTTCACTTACAGAGCAATTTATTCACGCCGTTAAGTGTCACGCACAGCAATTTGTATGATACTTCTAACAGCACTCATGAAACACAGAATCATTCCAACTGCATTGATAACGATTGATAATATTTGAGCCAAGATATAAGATGGGAAAAGCACAGCTACGTGGAACCTACGCTACTCCGATAGAAAAGTCTTTAAGAATCGGCTTAGATAAATAAAACCAATTCGTTTAGGAAAGGCATACTGTATATCTCCTAATTTGCACACATTTTAGCTGTATATTCAACTGATTTTCCATAATTTTAATATATTTTCTTTAATTTGCAGTCTACTGAGCCGACCGAGGAGCCGAGGTAGCGCAGTCGGTATAGCGACTGGCTACGGACTGGACGACTGAGGGATCGGAGTTCGATTCCCAGTAGAATAAAAAATTTTCTCTCCTCCAAATCGTCCAGACCGGCTCTGGGGTTCACCCAACCTCCCATCCAATAGATACCGGGGGCTTTTCCCCTGGGGTAAAGCGGCTGGGGCGTGAAGGTGACCACTCACATCCAGCTAGTGCCGAGGTCAAGAAAATGTAGATCTATAAATACATTCCCCCATACGCCTTCATGGCGTAGTGCTTAATTCGCTGAGTACAGGGACAACTTTACCTTATTGAGCCGACCAAGAACCAGGCGACGTTCCTTGATCCACGGATACCCGCACCTGTGGCATATACTGATGCCATCTGGTGTACTCGTAGGAAAGCAATGTATCAGGGCAAGGGCACACCAAGAAAACTGGCAACCCAAATTTCCGAGAAGTGTCGCCGATTTCAAGCAGGCAACTGGTTTCCAGCTTAGCAGGCGCACACTGAGGAAACTTACGTTTGATTAGTTCATCACATCGTCTTAAGTGAGTACATTCGTCTGACGTAATGCATAACTGTTTTTTTTTTAATTTCGCATACTTAACCTTCTGCAGTGGAAGATAATACTGATCCTGTCATAATATGGTGGTAGTTGAGGCCGGCTGTGACAGCATGAGAAGAGAGGACGACCCTAAGGACAATATTGCGATGTTAATTTGTTTTAAATAAGGTCAATTTATTTTAATCACGAAATATCGCCTTCACACTCTATACGAAATTTTGATATAGAGTGCAACAATTTTAGCAAGGTACAAGACACCTGATGATGTCCTTATACAGCAGAGTCATATATTGTGGAAGAAGGGTGACCATATAATAAGTTGTATTTAAGACGGAAATATATGTGAAATAAATAATATATTAATGCAACAGGATGCTTAAATACAATATTAGGAAAAGAAAGCATTGGGTGCATCCGTTCTTCTATGACATTTTAAACTGACGAGCCTATATTGTTTCGAAAGAACTTAACCTGGATCCACGCTCATTCGTTTCATGAGAAATTCTTTCCAAGTCAAAATCTCTATTGTCCTGCCTAGTTTGAGTGGCGTTTGGCATATCGTATACCATGCTTTTGCTCAGTTAACTACACAAAAAAACGAAATTAGCAGCTTCGTCAACCTTTCGTGCCACCTTAAGATACAAATGATTCACTGAAGCGCTTTATAGAACACCTGACACTAGGAAACCACACAGAAACGCAATTGTGAGAAGATTAGCGTGCTCCGTTGCCTGGAAGTTGAGTTTCGCAGTCTTTCCGCAAGTTATGTTGCCGTTTCCTCAATTTGCCCTGCTCCATTCAGCAATATGTTTTCAACTTAAGCTGAAAAAATTCTCGGAAATTGAAGTTGCCAGTTTCCTGGGTGTGCCCTTGCCCTTAAGATGATGTGAGCAACTACTCAGACATCAGTGTGCTCCTGCTAATCTGGAAACCAGTTGCCTGCCTGAAATCAGCGTCTTTTCTTGGAAATTGCGGTTGCGTTGCAGTTGCCAGTTTTCTGCCCTTGCTGTACGAGACGTACTCGACCAGCTTCTGTTCTTTATTCATCATCATTCATTCATTCATCAGTAATCTGTCAGACGAGAGGTCCACAGTCTCTTCCAAAACAGATCCTCCACTTAATGCGATCTCGAGCTTTCTCCTTCAAATAAAAAACATCCTTTTCTGTCCCCAAAGTCATCCAGCATCTTCTTACGTCTTCTTCCTCGTCTTCTGGTCACTTCTATCCGCCCCTCCGGTTTGTTTTGTCTCCAGAGAAAACATCTCGCATACATGGTATCTCTGTTTTTGGAAAGAGACTATCCAGTAAAAGTGATAATGTGATAGTTTTTCCATTTGCTTTCCACATCGCAGTACAACAGCCGTTCAAACCACTCTGGTCACGCCTGTTGCTATACGAACTTGAACCATCTCGAGCATCATTTGCTCTGTGCTTCAAGTCGCTGCTGATGACGCTGCTTCCGGCATCAGTTTTTGGTGTCTCTCTTCGTCTGATGCCTACCCTTTGACCTGTCCAGCAAGGGAGGCCCTGCCAGTAGCTACGATACCGCTGGTATAGCTCTCAGGGTCCTTGGCATACTCAAACCCCCTCACCACGATAAGGTGTAGACACCAAGGAGGGGGTCTTTTCTTCATCAGGAGTAAATTTTTATCGTTCATATTGAGACCAAAACTGAACAAACTTTACACAAATATATAGTTGACATAACGACAGGCGCAGACCGACTGGTCCATTATGCAAACGCTGCCTTGGACGCATGCGACACCTTGCAGCGGCTCTAGTAACCATGAATTGCAGAATCGCAAACAAATTAACTAACAAATTAACTAACGATTCCCGCGTCTGTTATCAATCGCCAGTTTTTACAGTAGCTTACTTTCAACAATATTAATGGAATTTTTAATTCGTACGTTTTGTGTCTGCGATAGTGCGTGCGCATGTATCACCTTGTTGTATATGGAGGTGTCATGTGTAAAAATTTTAATGAAAGTAATTGTTATATGAAATAATTAGTGAATAAGTTAGAACTTGTAAGAATGTACCAGAAATAATTGGATGAAACTGTACAAACGAGATGCTGTAACTCGGACTTTCACCAAGGCTATTTGTAGATGTCTCCAGATTTATCTTGTTTTGTTATTAAGAAATCGAGGGAAACAATTGACGTATAAACCCTCAAACTTTCCATTCTCACCTATGAACCGGATGCAGTGGTAAAGGCCCGAGATGAGTGAGGAAAATACCCAAACAGATCATATGTACCAAACAAGCACAGCAGCAATGGAATCTTCCTTCATACAAAGTCCTCCTAATCAGATTGTATAAATACTGTATTTCCAAACAACGAAAATTACTCTTCATACTGAATTGATACGACGTGAACTCTGTGTCGGACGAAACTCTGTCATTCAGTAGAAAGTCGGCCTTGTGCGAAGGGCCTTACGCACTCCTGCTGTACCAGTTTATTGCAGTTATTAAACTACCTTGTATTAAGTTTTAATTTCAGCCGTTCTCATCTCACCAGCAAAGGATTTTCCCATTATCCGCTCAACCAAATCCTTCCGAATCCGTCTACTTATTCCCTTAGTCTACGGATACAACACGCTGTCCGATCTGGACGCCTATTCAGGGCACATCTTTCATCCGTTAGCAAAGTTTCACGTACTTCTTCCGGTGAACGCTGCGAACCGACTACATCAGGTCCTCGCTTCGGACGCTGCAGCCGCTGCGTGCAGCTGTCTTACGCTTTGCGAAATTGTTGTGACTTTTGTAAAATAAAACAATTAAAAGTCAATTCCTTCTACTTAAAATCTTGATAAAGGACGTATGAGCCTTTCGGTCTTATTTTGGATTGGCGTTGGGTATGTTGAGGTAATATGAGTGTATGAGGGTTTCAGCATAGTACGCAGGGGGCCGAAACTCGTGAGCTACTCATGGAGCTACAAAAACTCCCCACGTTAACCCATGCAGCTCTTTGTCTAGTTTAATTTCATTATCAGCAAAAGCTGGAGCGAGCATTATGCACTTTTACGTATCATGACGTGGACACATCTTCCTGAAAGAAAGATACTGAGTCTAGATTGAATTGAACATAAATCTCGTTTTCTTGCGTGCTTTGTACGAAATGCATAAAATGAACGCACTCTTCGAGGTCTCTCCGTCTTGCTGAACAATGGTACGAACAAGCTTCTTGCTTTCTTGACTTTATCTTCGACCCATAAGACGCAGGCTGTACGTTTCTCCCAATGTCGCTGAACTTGTAACGGGCTACACGATATTACATTCCAGAAGACAGTTCAGTCGCTTCGACCTGTGACTTACGACTTAAGAATTTCCGGACTTACATTCGTGTTAAATTAATCCCATGAGACCTATCCGAATTTTCGTATTTACGACTCTAAACCTGAATTTCCGCCTTGCTTGTCACAAGGGGATCTACAGGAGAAGGACAGAACTCTAGCAGTCCAGCCCTCCTTCGATGGCTTTCACACAAACCCCAAGACCCAAGCAACCGCTCCTCCAACGTCCTCTGCCTATCTGACTCCCTTCCAAAGCTTCCCACAAACAAAGCTCTACTGTTTAATCTATATGATGTCCTGAATATGTCGGATTTTGATGGAATGTCGTTGTTAATTGTTTATAAAAATGCCTCTGTGCTTAACTAATTAAGCACTATGCCATGAAGAAGTATGGGCCTCGGCACTGGTTGAAGATGAGTGGTGAGCTTCACGATCTGGCCGCTTTACCCTCGGAAAAGAACCCCCAGTACCCACTGGATAGGAGGCTGGGTGGGTCCCAGAGCTGGTCTGGACGACGTTGAGAAAATTCTTGACCATACCGGGACTTGAACTCCGACTCCTCGGTCGTCCAGCCTGCAGCCAGTCGCTATACCGACTGCGCTGTACCTTATAAAGTTTGTTAATTCTCTGGTAGATGGAATCGTAACTCTTAGCGATCCAGGCTGTAATGCTGTCATGACTCGAATCGTAACTGTTAACAATCCATGGTGCTTCTAAACATTTTACATACATTTTCCCGTTGAAAAATTGGCGTGCGTCTTAAATTCGAAGAAACTTATTTTTCTATTTCCCCCCCTAAACTCCTCATTCAAAAACCGGATGCGTCTTAAATTCGAAGAGCGTCGTATATTCGAAGTACTACAGTAGGCACGCGGTAGCGTATTTGGTTGAGGCACTATGTTACAAGCCGGAAGGTCGCGAGTTCGATTCCCGTTGAGATCATTGGATTTTTCAAGTGACCTAATGCTTCCAGCCGCACTATGACCCTGGGATCGACTCAGACTCTGACGGAAATGAGCACCAGCAATCTTCCTGGGAAGGGGGGGGGGGTTAAAGGGCGGCCGCGCCTAAGGCTGACAACCTCACCACCATCTGTGAATCAATTGTCTAGAAAATCTGGAAGCCTCGACGTTCCACCATCCTATGGACCTCCACGGTTTGTTAGAGGGATAGCTTTTGCTAATTTTTAACATTTGTAATAGTTTTCTGTTTAATTATGTTATTTGAAGCCCCTTAAATGATTTTGTAATAAAACGATATAATTCTAGCGTAATAGAGATTAAAATATTGAAGAGTGTGTCTCAGCGTAGAGCTCCAGGAACGTATCCCTGTATGTTCCCATGATATAATGGACTCATCTGTGACTCGTTTTCGGGAACACATTAAGTCGTCAGTCCGTGAAGCGGTCGTAGTTTTCTAGAGAGTCTTCTTGCTAGCCTACGCGAGATTACGGAGAACGGACGAAGTGAGAGGGCACACCAAGGAAACTGGAGACCTCAACACAAGCGCAATTTCCGAGAATTGTTAGCAACCTGAGTTGAACACGTGTTACTAAATGTAGCAGGGCAAATTGAGGAAAAGACAACGCAGTTTCCTCAGTTTTGCGCTGTTCCATTCAGTAACATGTGTTCAACTCAGGCTGACAACAATTCTCGGAAATTGCGGTTGCGTTGCGGTTGCCAGTTTCCTTGGTATGCCCTCGCCCTAACAGTTTCAGACTGAACAGCTTGGTCTAGAGGTAATGCTCTGGATTTGTATTCCTAAGGTTCTCGGTTCGAATTTCGGTCGGAATGTTATAATGTCTGAAGTTTTTCGTGGTTTTTCCTCAGTACCATCAGTCAAATATCGTGATATCACCGCGATTATGTCAGTACGGCTTCTTTCCAAATCCCTTCCAATCCATCATTCTTCCTGTAATGAGAAGCTATGTTATCTCGAAGCTGATATCATCGTTATATAACCAAGTAGAAAAACAGTTTCATTTCAAAATTGTTTGTCCTTTACATTCTGGGGGGTTCGCTTTCCTATCTAGAGAATGAAAGCTGATGTGCTTGAGTAAGGTTATAAAAAAATTTGCTTGATGAAGATTTTTGTTCATATTATCTACAGTTTACAGTGTGTCCATTTCTGTGGTCTAGTTATCAGAGTTCCTGGATGCGGAGCTAGATGTGCCGGGTTCGATTCACAGCGCTACCAGATTTTCTGAGAAATAATGGCTCTGGAACGGGTTCCACTCAGCCTCGTGACGATAACTGAGGAGGTAGTCCAAGGAAATAGAGGCTCCGGTCTAGAAACCCGAAATTAACGGCCGTGGGATTTTTTTATTGTAGAAAGAAAATATTGTAAACACAAAAAAGGCCTAGGCAATGCCCATCTTAGTCTACAATAGCGGTCACCCCGCGATTCTTAATATAGATCTTGACTTAAATCTGAGAGTATACTGTTAACAATCAGTACAATTACTTCTTTTATTTTTTTACATATCTATTTTATATAAACGTAGGAATGTTGTTTATGAAGTAACAAATGCCTTGTAGAAATCTTTGGGGATTCGTTGCGCTGACCATGCGACACACTCTATCCGCTAAATTTGGCACCAAACTTCGCCGACAAGCGGCGGTCGCTCGGTCGGTATAGTTCGCTTGCGGACTCAAGCTTATTGATAAGGTTCATGTTAATGGACTGTACCTAATATGCAGGCATCTTACGATTATCGCGTTATCGCGATTTCATGTCATTTTTCATATTTAAATTTTAATGAAGGCTAAGAAGTAATGAAATCATTTGTCTGCGACAAAGAAAAGTCAAATTAATGACAAGCTTGTTGAACTTTATTGAAGTATGTATTTTTTCAATGAAAATTGAAAGATGTGGAATCGAAGGATTAACAAAAATACGAGTATCGAGTTACGATAAGCGATTTTGAGTTACGCTACAAATTTTCGGAAAGGAACTATTGCGAAAAAGTTGGATGATGCCCCTGTATGAATTGAATATGTATAGAATGCTTATACTTCACACGAAGGAAAACAGAAAGAAAAATAACTGTTAAGTAAGATTGATTATCTAGCTCTATACAAATATTTAACGTTCTTATTGTTTATTTAATGTTTTATGGACTGTTTAAACAGTGTATGTTAAGTTTGAAACTTAGACTGAATGCAAAATTGCATTAAGCTTTGAAATGTAATTGTAATATCTTTTAGTAATTAATTCAGTATTTCAAAGCAACATTAATTCTTGTTTCATTCAGTCACAGCTTCGCCACTATATCCATCCTTCGTCAGGACACTGAAAGCCAAAGCATTTGCAAGCATAATTTAACTAAGAGACGAATGAAAGTTACCATACAGGGCCCAAGAATAAGAATGAGATTACATGCATTCGTCCGTTATGTTTCATCCCTCAAGATAGTGTGAAGAATTTTGATTGAATTTGATACAGAGGATTCATACCGAAATTAGATGTGAAAATTTTATTGTGAATTGTTATATTGTGGTTTGTTCTGTATCAGACGATGACACATGAATTTATTCCTGTAATAACGTCGCTATCAAGGGAGCCCAGAATCCGTTCTGGACTCTGAAACCTTCTACACGAACTGCCCTGAGTTTTTGTAACTTTCCTCAGTCCATACATTAAATATTTGCGCAATGCCTAAAAGCAGGCGACGGCAGTTTTCTGCTATGAATCTTTTCGCAGTCATCACCAAATCTGATACACTTTAAGCATTCGTTCATTTTTTAATACACACCCTATTACGTTACAATCACAGGGTGCATGTACGCCTATGCAGTGCTTTTTGTTCTACCTGCACGTTACCCGGCCCTTTCACGTTCAGTTTTAGCCTAAAGTCAAAACTGAAATGCTCCGGCAGCTGTGCAGCTTCTGACTTTTGACAAGTTTTTTTGGAATCCTCATCGACGCGTCCCACCTCCAAACAAAGAGTATTTCATACATAAAACACGTGCACTTTGTATAAAATATGACGGGTGGTCCCTGAAAAGTTTCGTCTAATCCGGTGAATGTCAACCAACTTTCTGCTGGAACATCTTGCCTCCTGTTCCACGCTGATATCCAGGGTGGCTTATTCGGGCTTACTCTTTACCCTGAAAACGGGAGGCAGTACGTTCCATCGACGGGTGGGTGAACTTCTATTAGATTTTTTTTATTGCTAGTGAGGTGGGAATAAGTCCCTTGTACTGCGGCCACTTCTGGCCTATTGTACCAGCCCCAGATGATAGGTGAGGGTGATTGTGGAGCAATTGGTGCAATGAAGACTAGCAGGGGAAACCGAAGTACTCGGAGAAAACCTGCCCCAGCGCCACTTTGTCCACCACAAATCCCATGTCCTTTTTCCTTGATCCTGTCATCTAAGCATTAGCTATATACAATGAAAGAAACCTGTTCTTTTCAGCTTAATGACTGATAATAACAAATTCACTGGCGATGCCATACATAGGTATGCCGTCATATATATTTTTTATTCTCTATTGTTCTTCTAACTATGACATAAAAAGTGACCTCCATGTCCTTTTTCCTTGATCCTGTCATCTAAGCATTAGCTATATACCATTAAAAAATCCGGGATTGAACCCGGGCCGCCGCGATGGGAAGCAAGCGACTAACCGCTTGAGGTATGTCGCGGCCTTCTATTAGATTGCACGACGTTATAACCCACAAAATAAAACTCTCCATAGCCACCGTTGTGAGAACCTCAAATCAAATGAAGTTACTGCAGTTCGTAGAATGTGTAACCCTGCTTCATAATTACAAGACATTTGCGTAACAGTGTTTGTTAGACTGCACCGAAACTTAATATCCGACCGTATAGAAACACGCTATTCGTACAAAACCATGGTCCTTTAAAGGACATGACGTTACAGCTGAATTATCCGTGACTAAAATACTTTTAGTGTTTGGACAATAGATGTAGCAAACTTATATATGTGATAGTCTTTCGCCAGAAGAAACAAACATAATTTTAGTGGTTTCTTTAGAACACCTAATTGGATATAAAGTGCCTTATAGTTTTTTCCGGACTTAAATGTGGAGCGTTTTAACTCAATGCGTCCAGAGCGGTCCAGAAGGTCCAGAAGCTCTCTTTGATTAGTTATAAGCACAGAAGTTACAAACATCTGTGTACAGTGACTCAGGGATCATTCGCCATAACCGGTCTTGACGTCATCGAGCGGTTTAACATTCTGACTGATTCTGATCATTTTGTCGTACGGAACAGATTCGCAGTACGAATGTTGACGAAAAATGTGAGGTGAAATCGAGAACACGTAAGAACGGTGAGTTGCACGTTTTTATTTTACAGCCGAATCAAACAGTAATAGATAGAGAAAATTTAGTGACATTGATTTTAGTCCTTTATATATCATACATTCAGCAATACTGGTTCAGTGTAACTTCCGGTGGAACAGATAAGTGCACATAAATTATATCATTAGACATACTAATGAGCGTTATCAGCTGTTTATGTTACGCCCTCCTCCTCCTCCTCATCCACGCAGTTAGAAGCGTTAGATGTCATATGCACTGAGTATCGAAGGAAGAGGATTTTCGTCAACAGTTGTGAAATTTAGCTGTGCATGTACGCTGTTATGATAAGAAAGTTGAAAATCGTTACTGGCACATGACGCAGAGTGAGTGACATTGCGTTCTGTGAAGTAGGTTTGCTCAAGGTGATGTTCTTTGCAACGAGTATAATAGCCCAGAGGGCAAGAGATTTCCTTTCTCCTTTACGAAAACTGCATTGTGTAAATGCCCGCAAGTTCACAATGTTAGAGCTATGTATGTATCCCGAAAAATAATAAAAGAGTTTAAAAATTGTGTAGCTCAGTTGATTCTGTCATACCTCTCGTTTAAATATCAGTAGAAAGAGAAAGCGCATTCGTTTAGAAATTGGTGAAATATTATATACAGTAGTGAATTGTTCATTCTGTGAAAGTCATTTGCGCCAGCAACCTTGGCATGCATTCTTCTCAACCAATTTATAACTTGCACGGATACATAACGTTCTGAGTGCCAGTAACTGAATAACTTCTGGTAGGTTTGCTGTATATTATTAACACCATAGTTTTTAATACTTTTAAATATTTTCTTCTGTGCATATAAAAATGAAAGAGTGTGTGGATATAAAAACAGTTAATAAGAGTCAGACTCGATTTCAACAACAAATTTAACTGAGCTGTAGTTTTGAAAATCGACCTTGATGAATAACTGGATTGTCAAGTGATGACTCTGTATTAATACAAAAATAGAAGTGAATGGGATGATAATATTAAAATAGGTCTAAAAAAATAGATTGTACGGATGTGATCTGACACAAACAGATCCCAACTGTGGTGGCTTTACAGATCCATTCTTATTCATGGCACAAACAGCAATCTATGTTAGGGAAATTGTTATTGGCACCAGTATGAGTCTGACCTTCATACATTTTGTATTGAAGCTAGTTTAAATATCTTGAATTAATACTGGTATAGAACAGTCTTTTTCTTTTACTAGAGAGTGGGTACTGTTATCTCATATCTCAGAGTTGAGACATGCACTGCCCAAAATCACGTCCTTAGGCAATGCACAAAGTAGAGCCATCAGTGCAGCAGCAGTAGTCACTTGGTTTAAGTGCTTTTATATCTTGGCAGTTTATCATTCACAGTGATCGTTCAGTGCTATATACTTGAAAAGATATTGGTAACCCAAGAATCATGTCCCTTTCTCTAACATCCATTTTAATTCTACTTTTCAGTCTCCTTGATATTTTTAACATGGATGCTTCCAAAAAGGTTTCCCACCAACTCTTGTTTACTCCTTCAAAATGACAGGTGCAATCTGTTATAAGAAGCACTTTGACTTAATTACCCTGACAAATATGTAATTTCAAAGTATGCTTCATCTTTACCAGTGATGATACATAGAATTTATTCACTTGTTATCTTTGCTACCAAGCAGGTTGGTTTAGGGGTAACATTCCAAACCTATATTTGGGAGGAGCTTGATTCGAATCTTAACGAGGACCCAGGTATCCTGACTTAAGTTTTCATGATTTTTTTAATCCCTCCAGGCAAATGCCAGGATGGTACCTTGATCAGGCCATGTCTGTTTCCTTCCAAATCCTCTCCAATTCATTATTCAGTGACATCCAACTACTTGATGCTGTATAGTCTGGATACTGATAGTGTCAGGAAGACCCCTCTCCCCCCAAATTATCACATTGCTGCATTTAATGTAGTGAAGAGTAGTATATCCAAAACCCTGTGCCATGCTTAACATATTGAAATGTAAGGTGGTTTCGAACTAATTTGAAAGATACAGAAAATAGTAGGTTGGTTAGCATCAGAAAATTTGGGTTCCAGTCATATGGCAAAGATTTAAGGAGTTGGCACAAGACCGGATTATGTCTGCTTATGCATCACATTTCTTTTACTATAAAACAAACATTTTAAATTTGTCTTTCAGAGTGTATGTTTTTATGTTTCCATTCATTTTCTGAAAGAGATATGTCCGGAAGATAAAAGTGAAAGGCACTATACAATATGGAATTTTATGCAGAAAGGAGTTCTGTTTTAAGCCACAACTTAACTGTTGCTGATTTGCAAACTACTGCCATGTGTCATTGTTGCAAAATTGTGTTAGCCTTGCATAATTTTGATTCTCAAGATATCAGCACCTAATTTATTTTATCTCAAGGCCCCTCTTGAGTAGATACTATTATGAGAAGCCGGCTGATAAAGAGTCTTGTGGTTGATTAGCAGATTCAGTTTGGCGAACAAACGCTGCTCAACTTACCATAAGCACCATGGGTTCCTCAAGCTCTAAAACAATGAAGGTTTCTAATAAGAAAGGTAAGTATCAGTAACGTTAAAATATCTCTTCAGACATGTGATTTAAATCTGTGAATGTGGAAAGTGTAAAACATTAAGGAACTTGTAACTGGACATGTCTCTGAGTGCAGTGAAGGTCCCAGCAGAACCAATCACAGTACTTCACTCAGACAACACTTGTTTCATTTACCTGAGGTACGTTTGTTTGGATAATCCTTTGGTTTATGTACAGTAAATGGTAAAAAGGTAAAGTTGTCCCTGTGCTTAACTAATTAAGTATTGTGCCATGAAGGCATATGGGGGAGTGGATGTATAGAGCCACATTTTCTTGACCTAGGCACTAGCTGGAGGTGAGTGGTCAGCTTCATACCCCAGACGCTTTACCCTGGGGAAGGAGTCCCCAGTATCCATTGGATAGGAGGTTGGGTGGACCCCAGAGCTGGTCAGGACAATATGAAGAAAAGTAAATTCTTGACCCTACTGGGATTCGAACCCTGACCCCTTTGTCATCCAGCCCATAGTTAGTCACTATCCTGGCTTCCAGTTTATGTACAGTAATGACACGTATAGGAGCAGTACATTGTGACAGTAATACTTATCTGATAAAATAATACTTTCATTGAAGATAGAATTGCTCCAGTGTCATTTTTAAAAGACTGTCAGTCCTATTTTTTGTAAGGACATTTCATCACACCCTTATCCTGTTAATAGTTTAGTTCTCTTCAAGATACATAGTCTCTTCAAGATACATAAGCCAGAAGGTCACAGTCTGTGGTGTGCAGAAGTTATCACACAGTGCAAAATGTACAGTCTATGGTAATTCAGTTTAAACTATGCCTGAAATGGTCATGCTTTGAATTATTAAATTTTATATAAAATGACAAGGGAGTTCTGAGTGCTGTGCTGCTTGCATTTGCTTTGTGACAACTGGAAAACAATACACATAAATGAAAAAGGGCTTCTGTATCATATAGAAAATGAATAATGAATTTGTTTGTATGACAGCAAAGCATTTTGCATGTATTGGCTTCTAAATCTTTAAATTCTGCAGATCATGTCATACCCATTGTCCGGTCAGGTTTGCATTGCACTTCAGACTATAGTTTGACCTCTTCTGTAATGAAGTACATGGAGAAATGAGTGCTTAACAGTGACCGTAGTGATTCTGTACCATTTAAAGAAATTTCTCAAAAACATTTCTTGCATGAAACATATGTACAACCCAAGCCATGTGCCTTATTAACATGGCAAGGGCAGAGGTTCATTTCTTCTCCATAGTGAACAAAGCATGAGTCAGGATAGCTCAGTTGGTATAGCAAGTGGATATGGCTGGATAGCGGGGTAGCTGCGGTTCAGTTTCCAGCAGGGGCAAGAGATTTTTCTCTTCTCCACAATATTCAGACAGGCTCTGGGGCCCACCCAGCCTGCTGTCCACTTGGTATTGTGAGCTGTTCCCTGAGTATAAGGTGACAGAGGCATGAAGCTGACCACTCACCTCCATCTAGTACCAAGGTTAATAATGCGTGGAGCTATATCTTCACTCCCCATACATCTTCGTGGTATGGTGCTTAATTAATTATGTAAAGCGAAAGCTCTACCTTTAGCTTACCACAGTAGCCAGATCAGTTCTTGGGTTCTCCCAGCCTCCTGTCCAGTTGGTATCAGGGTTCCTTCCTCGGCAGGATAAAGCAGCTGGGACGTGGAGCTGACCACTCACCACCATCTAATGGTGAGGTTAAGAATGCTGTATCTCTGCTCTGCCATATGTCTTAATGGCATGGTGTTTGATTAAAGGGAGAGTTTCACCCTTTTCCTACTGTCATTCTCTTCATATTTATAAATCTGTCAAAAACAGTTTTTGATGTGATATACATTTTTATGAGGAATGTTATGCATACTTGACCACCTTAGTTTTAAATTAAACAATTTGTGATGGAGATAAAACTTTCTTAAGTAGATTAGTGATATGTTAAGTACAGTATCAGCATTTAATTTTTGTTGAGTTTCTCCTTTCCAACTTCCAGCTGAACCCTTCTCTATCCTTGTAGCTCCCATTACATAACTCAGCATTACTTAGTGGGCCCATAAGCAAACCTGGAGGCTGTGGATGTGCTAATGTGGTAAATCTTAAAACTATTCAAATCACTCAATAATAAGTACCTGTAAATCTACATATATATTTATGTAAGATTTTAGGTTGTCATGGTAGGGAAAGTCTATATTGTAGTCTTGTGGACTATGGTACAATTTAGCACTCATGCAGTCAGAGAATTTTGCCATCTTGATTTTTTCATTGTCATGAGGACATTTTATCACAAACTAATCCATTATGAATGAGTGACTTATCAGGTTTAGAGTGTAAAGAGCTATTCTTAGGAGATTGTCTCGTGTAGCTTATCTTCCACTGTAAATACTTTGCTGTTCTTTTTATATACATTTTTTAAAGTCTAAGATTTATATATATATGTACATGAAATTATTGTGATTTTGAATTTTAATTAGTTGAGGATGGTGAGGTCTGAAATACATATTGCAAAACAGAAAACAAAATATTAAAATAATTTATGTAAGTGTATATGGATACTAACTACATAACTAAGACAATACATAAATAGTTTAAATATATTAATGGGTATAGCAAAGGGGGCACGTGGTAGCATAGTTGGTTGAGGCACTATGCTACAAGCCAGAAGGTCACAGGTTCAAGTCCCAATGAGATCATTGGATTTTTTCAATTTACATAATCCTTCCAGCCGTACTATGGCCCTGGGGTCGACTCAGCCTCTAACAGAAATGAGTACCAGGAATATTCTTTGAATATTCTTGGGGGTGAAGGCAGCCGGCGCGTAGGGCTGACAGCCTTGCTGCCATCTATGAGGTGATTGTCTAGAAAATGTGGGAACCTCAACATCTCATATCACTATGGGCCTCCCCTGCCTGTTACAGGGATACCTTTACTTTTTACTTTTAATAGGTATAGCAATACAAAATTATATTCACTAAAGTGAAAATTAAGTGTAGGCAGTATTAAAAATGAATAGCAACATATTGTATATAATTTTGTTTTGTTCCCATTTGCATAATTTTTTTTTTTAGGAGCCAGGGTAGTTCAGTGAGATAGCAACCAAGGTATGGGCTTGACAACTAAAGAAATTGGGTTCAGTTCCTGGCAGGGGCAAGATATTTTTCTCTTCTTCACAGTGGTTAGGCCACCTCTGGGGCCCACCCAACCTACTTTCCAGAGGGTACTGGGAACTCTTTCCTGGAAGTAAGCAGCTGAAGCATGAAGCATGAGGCTGACCACCCATCTCCAACTAGTGCTGAGGTTAAGATATACCTCTCTTCTACCATATGTCTTTATGTCATGGCACTTATTTAAATATGTGGTCAGTTTTACCTTCATGTATTTATTTATGCGGTGGGTGATTGGTGGGACTGTTGTTGACATTTCTGTTATTCTTGTGATATGTTGAACAGAACCTGAGCCAGCTTACAAAGAATTCTGTGTAGTATGTAATCCAAAATGAATTTTTTCCCCCCCATATCTATGATTCTGGCTGGCTGTCCTGTGAAACGTTGAAAAGAGGTGTGGTTTGGAGAATTTAAAAAAAAGACCTTTGATTTTAAACAAAAATTTTGTCTTTTGGAATGTAAGACTGTAGTCTGAAAGTCAACCAGCGTTTTGGGGGAACACCGTCCCATCTTCATGGACTGAGAAGAGTAAGGAAAGGAAAAACCCAGCATTCAGAGCTCTGCTTGTTGCCTGCTTCATACTGGTTTCTTACTTGGCTAACTCTTTGACCCAGAAGATGGAACCAGTATGTTCTTCTGAAACATCTGCTTTCACTGAACTACGCAGCATTATATGCCAGAAATTGGAACTCCCCATAAGACCACTGCTGAGATAACCTTTTATTTTAATTTTTTTTTTAGTTTAGTTTTGATATGAAAGCTTAGTGTCAGGCAGAATGTGTAAATTATTAACCATTCAGAAATCCTAATTGCTTTTAAACTATGTGATATATGTCAGTAATTTCACATTGACCTTCCCTGTTGAAATTAGGCGGAATTTTCCTTTTCTTGTAGGGACAGAAGTGGACTTGGTATGGGTTACAGTTACATCCTCCATCAAATTTCATTTCTATGAAGTTAAGGCATGTTGGATTAGTCTGTTCCTAAAATGTAATGTAATTAAAAAAGAACTCCATAGTGTTTAGTCCGCAAGCGAACCATACCTACCAAGCGACCGCCACTTGTTGGCAAAGTTAATGACAGCTTTTGCGGATAGAGGGTGTTGCATCTCGGTTTTCTAGACCAGAGCCGCTACTTTTCCATTCAGGTAGCTCCTCAGTTATCCTCACAAAGCTGAGTGGACCCTGTTCCAGACCCACTACTTCTCAGAAAATCTGGTAGCACCGGAAATCGAACCCAAGAAATATGACCACTAGACAATAGAGGTGGTCACAAAAATAAGAACATACTTAATGTGTCCATACAAATCATGGAATTACAGCATGCTTTCTTATAGTGTTATATTTAATATGTTATTAACTTACTGGCAATATAGCAGTCTGTTTATGTTAGATGCATAACTCCAGTTGATATTCAGAACACTCCCCCTGGTACATGGGCCTAAGGAGAATACAGAGCTTGGCTTTACAAAGCCAAAATGCGTGGGAAAGATTGAAAAGAAAAACTGAAAAAATGTTGAATGTATTAAATTGAAATAACAACGTAGCCAGGGAATGTTGTGGAAAAATTTTCAATTACAGTTTTCTCATCAGATTGTTCTAGATCAGGCATGTCCAACTTCAGACAGGTTGTGATCGACTTATTGGTGTCAAAACTGCCAATGATCTACCACCCCCTCCTACTGTCATACCTCGCTTTAAGCAAAAATATTGCTAAAAATAACATGACACATGTTTGTTGTAAAAGTAACATACATTGAAAGTACAGACTACTTTAATGCGTATTTTGCCTTCAAAATCTAAATATAATTATATTATATTACACGTGAATTTACATGCTTTTCACGTATAATTTCCTAATAGGCCTATGAGATTGAGCAAAAATCATCCCGCAATCGACGCGTTGAACATGCCTGTTCTAGATGAATCATTTATAGCAGAAGATAATTTTTTTGTGTCTTTTAATATGCAGTTTAATTTTATGTGCTTATTGATTACCTGTGATTTTAATATTAGAATTGTCAGCACCTTGTTTATGCCTGCAGCCCCCCCCCCTCCTCATATTGGGCCTCAGTCCCTTTGCTCAGCTGCACAGTTGTTGCTACCAAGAATCAAGTAATATTTTTGTGCCTTGATATTCAGACAGTCTTTCATTTGAGAATTGTATTGTGTACAGACACAATCCATCTCTGTGTGTTCCAGCACAGAGTAAGGAAAGCGATGGGGCATTTTCATTTGAGAATTGTATTGTGTACAGATAAGCCATCTCTGTGTGTTCCAGCACAGAGTAAAGAAAGTGATGGGGCATTTTCATTTGAGAAGTGTATTGTGTACAGACAAGCCATCTCTGTCTGTTCCAGCACAGAGTAAAGAAAGTGATGGGGAATTTTCATTTGAGAATTGTATTGTGTACAGACACAATCGATCTCTGTGTGTTCCAGCACAGAGTAAGGAAAGTGATGGGGCATTTGTGGCATAATATTAACTTTTACTGGAATTTGTGTTTTGTTTATTTTCAGGCAAGATGAAGTCATCAAATGATGACTATGTGGAGGCCATTGTATGTCAAGAATCAGACATACAGGAAAATGAGTAAGTTTAGCTTCTATACTAAAATTTTTTCTTGAAATTAACTAAAATATTTAATATGCTATTATGTAATTAAAATGTGTTCTTAGAATAATTAACTCAATGGAACAGAGTTCTTGAGAATCTAATATCAGAAACATGATATAATTATGTGAACTGGATTCATTTGGCACAGGATCAAAAGGAGTGACAGTCTGTTTTTTACATTTTAATGAGTGTTTGGATTGCATTTGACCAGCTGAGCAACTATTAGCTTATCAAGAAGGACTCTGCCCCATATACTTGTGGTTTATTAGTCAGTTATTGTAATGATAGTACTTGTTGAGTGCATTAAGTAATTATGTCTTTCGTCTGTTGCCACCTTAGGATGAAGTCATTTGAACTTGGGGATGCAGGAAAAATTCTTCTAGTGAAACAGAATGGGAAATTATCAGCAATAGGTTCCAAATGTACCCATTATGGGGCTCCTCTTCACACTGGGGTGCTGGGTAATGGGAGGGTCCGTTGTCCTTGGCATGGAGCTTGCTTCAACACAGTCACAGGTAAACATGCCAAGGTTTTCAGGATATACATATGTTGATTAGACCTAAGCTTAAATTAAGTCCTTCCCTTTTGTTGTCTTAAGTACTTTTTTTTTCTTCTCTTTTATAGAAGAAAAGAAAAAGGTTGTTGCAAAAGTAGAACTGCTGTTTAAGACTGCCTTCATGTTATTGTGTGCTGTTTTAACAATTGTCCAAACTGGGAACCATGATAGTTGATATCCACTTCAGATCTTTTACATAAACTCAGGTCGGGGCCATAATTGCATTTATTCATGTGCTAACAGCATTGCAGACCTGGAGGGGGGGGACACCTTCCTTAGTAGTTTACACCCTGGTATGGAACTGTAGTGCTACTTTTGCACAGATTACACATTGTCAGGTCTCAGAACGTATTCTCACTTTAATATATCTGCTTTATGTACTGAGAAAGAAGAACTCTGGCCACAGTGAGTGAGCACGCGTGGATGTACAGTTGAGTATGTACATGTACATTGCTTATGGTTTATCTCTGAATTGTGGTTGATCTGATGGAGGGAAAAATATCATGTCATTACCAGAGAGTTCTGAATGACTGCAGATACTATTATATCTGTCTGCAGGAGATATTGAGGACTTCCCAGGACTGGACAGTTTACCTTGTTATCAGGTAGAGGTCCAGGATGGAGGAGGTGTCAAAGTGAGAGCCAAGAAGGCAGAGGTGAAATCCAGCAAGAGGATTAAGGACATGGTTTCAAGAGACAGGACAGTTGGCACTACTTTTGTTGTCGTTGGTGGAGGTGAGTTTCAGTCATTTCCTTTCCCTCCTACTGCTCCTCCTTCCTGTTAAATCTTGTTGCATCAGTTTATTGTATGAATGGAATTTGTATACAAAATTTCACTTATAAAAGCTAGATTATGAAATGGCATTATACAGTATTTTTTTTATTGCTAGTGGGGTGGGACTAAGTCCCTTGTACTGCGGCCACTTCTGGCCTATTGTACCAGCCCCAGATGATAGGTGAGGATGATTGTGGAGCAATTGGTGGAATGAAGATTGGCAGGGTAAACCGAAGTACTTGGAGAAAACCTGCCCCACCGCCACTGTGTCCACCACAAATCCTACTTTCTGGGATCGAACCCGGGCCGCCGCCATGGGAAGCCAGCAACTAACCGCTTGAGCTATGGTGCGGCCTGCATTATACAGTAAGTGGCAAAGGATGCAAGAATTACTGCAAACCATAGGGCTGTAATTCTGTGCAGGCTTTAGAAAGTCAACTTACTTTTCAGATAAACATATCGCCTCCAACTTCAGGGTTGAAGAGTAAGCCAAGCAAGAAAACAGCATGACTTAGGCAGAACTGCTTTTTGGGGAACATATTGCTCGCATCTTTGAGCTGGTTTCTTACCTGACTTGCTCTTCAGCCCTAAAGATGGAGACGATGTGTTCTTCCAAAATGATGGTTGACTTTTGACAGCTTACATGGCATTATATCCCAGTCAAGCCATAATCAGTTTTTCTTCTTTGAGTCCATTCTTAATTTTTCTGGCAGCAGGTGCTGTATTTATCTTTCCTTATCCTTGACTGCTCAAAGTTTCATAACGCATAGCCTATGCTGTATAATTTAATGCTTCTTCTCTGTTGTAAATATATTTCACCCATTTTTTGTTAAAGGAAGGAAATGGTGATTTAATAAAACATTGCTACTGCAAAAAATATTTCACAGTATTTATGACATGTGCAATCATGTGTTCCAGTATGTGTCATCTCACTAATGTTGACAGCTGTGAGACAAATAAATTTGTCTGGCTACTTTATCATTGCTGAAATAAGATATGTGTCACATTTTTCTGTGATCTCTTAAAAAAGGAACTATATCCCAACAATAAAAAGAGCTTTATTTTATATGTTCCTTCTAAACTTTGATCCTGGGCTCATACAGGACCTGCAGGTGCATCTTGTGTGGAGACCCTACGCCAAGAGGGTTTCAGAGGACGAATTGTGTTTGTCTGCAAGGAACAAGCTTTGCCTTATGACCGTGTTAAAACAAGCAAGGCTTTAGATGTTAAACTAGACAGTATTACCTTCCGAACTGCCAGTTTCTATAAGGTGGGTCATTTATGTTAATACCTGATGTATAATGTTTGACATCAGTGAAAAAAAAGTAAAAGTATCCCTGTAACAGGCCATGGAGGCCCATAGGGTTGTGAGATGTTGAGGTTCCCACATTATCTAGACAGTCGGCTCATAGAAGGCAGTGAGGTTGTCAGCCTTACACACCAACCACCCTTTACCCCCAGGAAGATTCCTGGTACTCATTTCTGTTAGAGGCTGAGTTGACCCAGGGCCATATTGTGGCTGGAAGGTTTAGGTAAATTGCAAAACTCCACCTCATCAGGATTCAATCCCATGACCTTCCAGCTTGTAGCACAGTGCCTCAACCATCTACGCAACCTCATGCCCCCATTTGACATCATTAGTAGTGCAAATCTGAATGAGTCACAGTTGACTCAGACTGAAACAAGACTCACTCAACAAATTCACAAATATTTGTAAACAGAACTGGAATTAAAATTAGTGTAACATACAAGCATCTCATAATATGCACGGTGAACTGGAAGAAAACAAGATTTGTTAGCAATGGAAATAAATGTCCAAACCTTGTAAGACTTAACAGTGTAAATGCTAATTGGCTAATATTGACATTAGTTTATCACTGACCAGATTTGTTGATATTGAAATTAATTTGTTTTCATTTGCAAACATATATTCTGTCCTTATTATGTATTTTAATCACACTATGCACTATACAGTAGAAAGTACGATAGTGATAACACTGTAGTGATTGTAATGAACAAATATTGTAACCAATGTGCCAATAAATCCAATCATCTGATGTAGAACCTGTTATTTTTGTCACGTGTACTCCCCTACATGTGACAGTATAATTGACAAGCAATTCTTCTTGTTTTCAGGAACATGGAATAGAGGTACTGACTGGCACAGAAGTCATTGGCTTAAATCCTGAAGCAAAGGTTTTGAAACTTAGCTCTGGAAACGAACTGAAGTATGATGCTGTCTTCTTAGGCACTGGTTCAGAGTGAGTAGTGAATTTTGATATATAATTGTTTTATGAGTTCTTAAACGTCTGTGTTTTTAGAAAGAAACTAATGCTTGTAAAATCATGATACTGTCACATGTTGGGTATGTCACGCAACAAATGAATTCACGTGGGTCTCGGATTCAGCGAATCTTTATTGAATATTCACTCTTACACTCTTTACAATTGTTATCAGCTGTAGTATTAATTGGCTTTTGCCTCAATGTTTGACCCTCGGTTCTCTAATAATAATAATCTAGTACATGTCCTAAGCTCTGCTTATATATGGGTCATGCAGACTCAATCGAGGACACCTCTCGCCAAGGTTCGATCCCGTGTGTTCAGCATTCCGTTGCTTCGGGAACGATCTCTATAGATTATGGCGGTAACGTGTTTCGTCTCATCCGTTGGTACTCAACGGCCTTCTGTTGTTCATCTCCGGGAGAAACGCGTTAATTGCTTCTGCACTTCCTGTGCAGTGGCCCATTGTTATTGCGTTTCCATGGAGGTATCTACTCCAGACACGTTACAATACTATGTTTGTATATTTGTGTCTGCTTGTCTGTAATAATTTTTTAACCAGTTGGGCAAGTCTCATGAAGGTTTTAAATAATCACACTGTTGCAAGCCACCACACCTTCATGACACCTAATTCCATGCCATCATCAGTACATACACAGTGACTTAAACCCTTCTGAGACGGAAGCAAGACCACATGGTGCAGGATCTTAATTAAGCTGTTCGTATTTATTTAGTTGATCAAGAAATTCCTTGTTTTCTGAGGAACCTGAATGTCTTATCATTGTGTCCACAAAAGTAGTACCATCAGACCCCATCCTGAGTGAGTGGAATTCATTCCACAGCTTTGTAATAATTTTGTAAAAGAGCCACTGTAATGTTACATTCCAAATCAGGCCACTCTTCCAAGTAACATTTTCCAAGGTTTCCCAACAAGAACTTTGTATGTATTTCTTATATCCCCATGCATTCTACATCTTGCCCCTCACATCCATCATGCCTTTGTCACCCTGACAGAATTGGATAAAGGGTACAATTTATGATTCTCCTCATTGTGTAGTTTTTACCGGTCATTTGTTGCTTCATTTCTCATATGTTCATATGTCTTGCTAAGAACCTTGTTCTTAAATATCATAGTCCATGTATGTCTGTTACATTAATTAACTCCATCTTGGAAATAGGTAAAATTACCATTTTATGCATTTTAATCTTTATGCTTTCAGATAAAATGCAAAAAAATGAAACATTTTGAACTTATTGTTAGCAGCCATAACTTATAGCCTTACATCCTACAGAGAAACAGTATTTGATACATTTCATAATTTTACTTTTGCTTATTCAAATCAATCTTGTAATTAACGGTTTGTGTACTTCATGCTGTATTTACAGAAGTGTGATATATTTTATTTGTTCTGCAGTGCACGTCGACCCCCCATTCCTGGAGCAGACCTAAAAAATATATTTGTGGTTCGTACAATAGAAGACTCATATGGTATTTCTGGTCAACTTGGCCCAGAGAAAAATATTGTTATCCTTGGAGCATCATTTGTTGGTCAGTTTACATTTTATTAACTCAGCATCTTTTAACATATTTTAGTCTTTTGCCTCTATTCTATATAAAACGGCATGCCTCCCCCCCAGGTGACTCAAATTATTCATTTTTCGCCATTTGCCTTCATATATAAGAGAAGCTGGCTTAAGGCTATCATCTTTGTACTTCTGTCTCCTGTTAATAACTTTTGAATCAACTGACTGACATACATGAAGCTTCATATGAACATCATGCCATGAAAGATCTCCCTACTTGAATAATATCATCATGGCAGCCATGTAAACTTATGCTTTTGTCACTTTATGTAGAAACCTGAAATTTTATGTGGTAATCAAAATAAGCAACTTTCTCTGAGATGTTTATGCCGTACAACATGGCAGCTGTGCAGAATGTACATTTAGCATTTTATTTCATATCAGTCTCTAGTGAACTATTTGAGTTAGGCATGTGATATTTTGATGAAGATAGATCTTATAAATAAATAAATACATACCTGCAGATTCTGTTTGAAATATTGTTTCTGTGTCGGTAATTACAGACATATGTCAGTTAAAACCTTTGGAGTTATCTCTGATAAATTTAATATACTGCACATGTATGTATGACTGTAGACAGTGTTGGATTGGTGGCTCAATTTATTTACCACGTATACATTCATGACTCATGACTACACTTTACTGACACACATACAGACTGTTGTCCTCAGTCTATTACAGTTTACACTAGCCATTTCCTGACAACAGATTTTAACATAGGAACTATAATAGTTCCAGTGAATTACACAAATATCACACATAAAGTCTTCTGTTCACAGCTGAGCACTCTTGCAACTGACTGTTTTCTTCACAGCCTCCCATACAGAATTCATCTGACAACAAAGTCAAAGTCAGAGTTACTTTATGACTGGCAGTTTGCAGCCAGTCAGTTTGTCTTGAGACCCACGACCAGAGATTTTTTCCTCCAAATGAACCCTTGTGGTAAAAGTCCTTATGTAACATCCTCTCTGATGAGAAGATGGGTTTGTCTGTTATGAATATGCTTGGCCTTTCATCAAGTGTACATTTCTCACATATAACATGTTATTGAAAAATTCTTGCTTTTGCACTACACACAAGTCCTCTGTCAGTACAGGCTTTACAGAGCAGAGCATGCATATCTTAAAATTTCTTATGCTACAACGGCAGCCTAGTCACTTGAACGGTCGTAAGCTTGACCACTGCCAAGTTTAAGCCTCTTATATTTTTCAGCTGACAACTAACTTTGTCCTTTGCTTATAACATCTTGACACAGACCACATAGAAAACACAGTTCTTTTATTGTTTTGTCCAACTGTTGCATTATTAAGAATCTGCTGCCTAGCAACAGGAACATGTGTACCAAACCGTTGCCGAGAAACAGTTGCTGTTTACAGAATCATTGCTTAGCAACGGGTCTATGTGCCACAATATTAAGTATTTGTACTTGTGGAAATTGTGCCCACAAAAGGATTGTTATGTAGTTCTTGGGAGTCTCACTTTGTCAGCTGAAACATTTGAAAGAAAGTAGGCATTGGAAGTTCTTCCAAGAATTCCCTCTGTATATTAATTCTAGAGTGAGAGAAAAATTGTTATAAATAGCTTTGCATAGGAATATTTAATGGATAGTCCATTACCAGGTAAAGTGTTACGGAAGAATTTAGCATAATATGTACAGTAGTTAAAATTGTTTCTCACAAAACTGAACTGGCTTTGCCAGGAACAACCTGAAAAGGTGATTGATATATTTTTATTCAGAAATGTAATGAAGATATTGATCCCATGCTGTTGCTTTGTTTCAGGCATGGAAGCTGCTGCATCTTGTGTGGAGAAAGCAAAGTCAGTGACTGTGATTGGTAGAGATACTGTTCCGTTCCGTGCAGTTCTGGGAGAAGAGATTGGAGCCCGCCTAATGGCCCTGTTCAAGGAGAAGAATGTTTTGTTCAAAATGCAATCAGGAGTGGCTCGCTTCCTGGCAGGTCCTTCAGGTGATACAGTGAGTCAGGTGGAGCTCGCAGATGGCAGCACTCTACCAGCTGACATATGTGTGCTTGGAATAGGATCTTCACCAGCCACAAAATTCCTTGATGGATCAGGTGTGGATATGGATAAGAGTGGTGCTATCATTGTTAACAAGGTAATGCGTTTGTTGTCTTAGTTAGTTAGTTATTGGAGAGGGTGGGTTTCCCCATGCACTTAGACCAGTATTGGTCCATTGTGCTTCCCTCTATGATATTCTACCAGTCTCTATACCCTACCGATATTGGTGCGTACCATCAGTCCCGACCGAGCCAGCGAGTTCGGCCTCTACTGGCTTGGCGGTATCAATAATGCTTCCCCCATCTCTCAGAGGCATTAGATACTACTGTTGGACTGAATTTGGCTCAGTGACCTCCTTCGGAGATATGAGGTTCTTTTACGTGCCGTAAAGCTACGACACAGGACCCACGGCTTAAAGTCCCTCCCGGAGGACTTGTTCCCTGAATTTTTCCGCCCTTAAAAATTCCAGTTTGTTGTCTTACTTTACTTTATTTTACTTTTACAAAGTGGTGTTGTGTATGAATGTCTGGACTCCTAATCAGCAGTGGAACTCAAATTATCATACTAAGTGTCTGTTGTGGCCACGCAATAGCTCAAGCAATTAGTCGCTGGCTTCCTACCGCAGTGGCCTGGGTTCGATCCCGGGTCTTGTCAAGTGGGATTTGTGGTGGATAAAGTGATGCTGGGGCTGGTTTTCTCCAAGTACTTCGGTTTCCCCTGCCAATCTTTATTCCACCAAATTCTCCATCATCATCACCCAGGGCAGGCTACAGTAGGCCATCAGTGACCGCTGTGCTGAGCAGACCCAGTTCGACTCCACCCCCCACTAAGCGAATTAAAAAAAAAGTGTCTGTTGTTCCAAGATGGTAATGCTGGAAGTATATTCATTGTTTCTTTTGTGTGTTTATGTAGCATTTGGAGAGTAACATAAAGGGTGTGTATGCTGGTGGTGACAATGCATATGCCCCTATACTTGATACCACTGCATGCATTGGACATTGGCAGTTGGCACACTACCATGGCCGTATTGCGGCACTCAATATGGCAGGCAAAGAGACAGAAGTACAGACAGTTCCCTTTTTCTGGACCATGCTCTTTGGAAAAGGTGTTCGGTTTGCAGGTATGATGTTGAGTATTACTGTGAGCAGTCACTTAAACCTAACAAGAACAAATCACATGCAGCAATTCTTTTATGTAGACAGATTATGAACATGGATGACAGTACATGTCCTGCATAGCATACCTTAATACAGTTTAACTTAAGTATGTTCTTCCAAGAAACTGACACCCATCTACCAAACGACATGGTAGCATTACTCAGAAGACCATAGTGTCAGTCTTCATTATGTTTAAAGCTGAGATCGACATTTGAAAAGCTGAATAGAAAGTGATGATTTCTGTCTTCTGGGAAACAATGCTGTATAGTTCATTGAAAGTCAATTGATATTTCAGAGGAACGTGTTGCCTCCATCTTCAAGGTCAAAGAAGGCCAAGCAAGAAATCCACATGTACCTGCCAGTGAAGATGGAGGTAACATGTTCCTCTGGAACGTCAGTTGACTTTTAACGGAACACATGGCTTTATATCCCAGAAGATAAAACTCTAATCAAAACCACTGCTATGAGATCCTCAGATCCTATGAACTATACTTATTTTTCTGGTTAAGTGTCCATGAGTAATAGCGTGCATTGAGGATTCTTCGTTGAAAGTGCTCCCTGCACAGTTCTGGTACAGTGCTTATCATATATTTGTTAATGGTCATATGATGTTCAGATCCACATTTGTATACCATATGGGCATTTATAAAATACATATATATTATTGTGGTGAATGTGATTAGTTATATTCAGGAATGATATCTTCTCTTTCTTTTTTTCTTTAAAAAAAAAAAAAAGGATATGCACCAAAGTTTGACGAAGTTGTGATTGGTGGAAGTCTGGAGGAACTGAAGTTTGTGGCACATTATATTGTTGGTGACCGTGTGGCTGCTGTTGCAACAATTGGAAGTGATCCTGTTGCAGCCAAATTTGCTGAGTTGGTATCCACAGGAAAACAGCTTCTCAAGTCAGATCTGCAACCAGATGCAATGGCCTGGACAAAGAAATAAATTATCCTGAATAGGCACAAGGGCCAATCACAGTTGAAGGGTATGACCTAATCCTGAAATTGATAACAGTATTTTATTGGCTCAGTAATTCTCAAGTGTTTATGTATAAAAACAGAATTTATTAATGTAAAAATATACATTTAGAAAGAATTGCATCAATAGAGATATTATGCATTCAGGAAATTATTTTTATATTTGTATATTTAAATTTTACAGAACCAGTATTCAGCAGGTTTTAGCAGTATAACCAGGTCTGCATTTAGAATGTTACATTTGTATTAGTACTGTTGACAGAAATATTGGCAATATGTATTTTTATTTATGTTATGTAGATTAAAGGATTGGGCTTTAGGCTAGATGCAGTAAAGGGGTAGGTGTAAAATGACCATTGCAGCGCCACTGTCGTTGACTTGTGCATGTAATAGAATAGGTTGAAGTTTCACTGATATTAAAAACAGTTCCATGGTAGCAAAACATAACAAAAATTTAAAATTAACCATAAACAACATATCAAATTCTTCAACCTTACATGTGTGCCCAACAGGTTATTGTACAGAAACAGAGAACTGACATTATTGGTTGCTATATTCTGTTGTAACAATTGATTATTCTGTGTTCCATTAAATGGATTGATGTGTAATTGAAATGCCAGATTTGTTAGCTTGTATGTTAGTGAATGCTTCACATTTTATCTGTTTCTTTTTAGTTCTCTCTCCTAATGATTTTGTATTTTTTATGGAAATTAATATAAAATTTCCTGTTGTTTGATGAGCTCAGATGACTCTTTAAAAGTATCTTGAACATTGAAATGAACAAAATGTACATTGTTAGTGGAAGGTGAACAAAAGAAGTATTTGGTGAAACTTCACACATTATTAACAGTTCTTATAAATGGAAATCACATTTTGAACATTTGTGTGTGTATAAGACAGTATGAATGATGGTCATAAGATTTTACCATAGGATGGAGGCCATATACCAGTAAACAATAATTAAAAACTTGGCTCCTGCCTTCTAGAAACTCAATCACATCTCCGTTGTTGACATTAATAATTTGTTACAGAGACAACCATTTTTATGTAGGAAAGGGTCCATAGTAGTAAGTTATTGACTGTCAAGGTAGGTGTTACAGTTATAATTGTCCCATAAAAGGAATAACAAATGACGTGTGTGAAATTTTGCTTTGGTTGTGAACATGGCTGGAAATGGGGTAAACATGGATAGGTGTCATCTGCTTATTCCAGAGCACTTCATTTTGAGGAAGCTATTTCCAGTGCCTTAAGACATACTTATCATTCTCAACAATGATACATATAGGGATAAATTTATGAGTTTACCTTGTAAGAACCTTTCAATATATGTTGGTCATTCCCTGAAGCTTTTGCTTAGTTCTGGAAAATCGTGTCTGCTTATCATTGTAAATGAAATATTCTGAGAATTCTCATTCCCAAACATCTAAACAGAGTACTTCTGTGTCAGACATGCCTAATAGTCACTGATACTTATCTCTGGCTTACAAGTATTGTGATTTAATTCAGAATTTGGGTTTTACATAATTAACATAGGGTTAATGGTTTTTGTCTGTGATTTAAAAACTGATGCAGATTAATGTATAACAATTTGAGATGCTGTGTTGTTTAAAAAAGCAATGTGATATTTAATATATATATATGAAATTTAAGTACTTTGTAGCAGAGGTTGTTGATTTCTCATCATGTATGTACTTAGTATGTTTTGTGGTATGTTTGCTTGTATTTATGATATGAGAAGTTCTGCTGTGTCTTGTGGAAATGAGCCGGGATAGCATTTGGTATAGCGATTGGCTACAGGCTGGATGACCAAGCGGTCAGATTTTGAGTTCTGATGGGAGCAGGAATTTTCACTTCTCCATGTTGTCCAGACTGGCTCTGGGGTCCACCCAGCCTCCTATCCAGTGGGTACTGGGGGCTCTTTTCCCAAGGGTAAAGCGGCCAGGGTGTGAAGCTGAACACTCACCTCCAAACTAGTGCCGATGTTAAGAAGACGTAGGTCTATACAACCACTGCCCCATATATCTTCATGGCATATTGCTTAATTAGTTAAGTACAGGGACAACTTTACCTTACCTTACTTTATAGGAACAGGGTATGGACAATATGAAAATGTTTTGTACATGTCAGTATTACTGAGTCAGTTAGATTCCATAAGTGCTTTGAATTGTTTACATATTCCATATTATTTTGCAAAGGGTGCTATGTACTATCCTGAATCAAGTCTTCATCTACAGAAATGTCACAGAATGAAAATATTCAACTGTGTTAGCTTGTTCTAGCCTTAGTTACAATATGATCAATTTTTCTTCTTTGCAGTCCACTATATAGAATCTTCATTGTGACCACACTCATGTCATAGGACTATACAGAATATATCGTCTCAGTTCCTGAAATTTAACAGCTGTATTTGTTTGAATATGTCATTACAATTGTAATGGTGGTAAGAACAGGAGCTCACATAAAATTTTAATCAAAAATAATAAATCCATATTGTAAATTTATGTAAGTGCAAATAGGACAATGTATATATATGTGTATGTACACACACGTACCACACACACTAACTCACTGTTTGTCACACTTGTTTATTTGTTTTAAAGCTAACAACATAAAATAGCTCTGGACTGATGAATGTATGGTTTGGTAGTAAGTGCTGTTGGTGTTTATGTATGTCCACTTGTGGCTCTCTGGGGTTGCAGCACAGCTGGGGAAGTTGTATCACGTTGTGTGCAACTGCCCTTACAATCAGCAGCATTTTTTATTGTCCTGTTTATATTACAAGAAAAATGTTTCAGAGACTGGATTCTGTCTCCATCTTCAGGTAAAACCCATTCAGTTGGGCCCATTTATAGAGGTGGTCGGATGTCCAGAAACATAATACTTGTATTAACAGTTATTCTCAGAAATAAATGGGAATTTATCAGGATAAGAATAATACAAATCATAATTTCCCTCATCCAAGCTTGAGGCAGAATTCAGTTTTGTATGTTGCACACTGCAGTCACTTTTATTAGATTTTAAACTGAGGAACAAATATGGTGTCTATCATATTCTAGTCTTGCATACATTACAAGGATTTCCTTGAAGAATACTCCTTTTAAAGTTATTTTGAATGTTATAATTAAATTGATAAACAATGCAAGATTTTATTCTCTTTATGCAATGACAGAACAGGACACTTCTGCATGGCCTACTTGACTATGAATAAAATGGGAAGGCATGAAAATACTTCTGTAACGGGAGAAAGTAAAATATGTATTTACTTTTTATATATTACTTGTGGTGTGCCTAGTTTAATCATTTAAACATAGCTGTAGAGTGTAGCAGAGGTGGCTGTGGTGTAGTCCTATTTAGTCCTATGTATACAGATTTATTTTGTTACATGTCAGAAAGTTCCTCCTTTTTTTTCTGCATGGAATTTGTTAATAATTGAAAATTTTATATGCTCCATAGAGTATTACATTGTAAATCATCACATCAAATAAATATTCTTGCATTATATGTATTTTTTGGCATTATCTGTCTCCATAAACTGGACTCCAAAAGAAGCCTAGGTAGATGAATATTCAGGGTACAGGTAATTTATTTAGACAAACATGATATAGTCATAAAAAATACATTATAAAATACTCAGATGAGACTTATGTTACCAATCATTGGTTTTCAGAAAATTTTGTTTTAGTGTCCTTGACATTTCTGTGCTGGTTCTTTCATTAAGTTGCCCAATATTTTTATGGTGCTTGCTATGTTTATAATTATTTTGTTAATATAAAAATGTTTCCTTAGAAGTGCTTAGCAGCAACTCCCTTTTCCATAAACCATGTAACATCTACATATTGTTGGATTTCAAGCTTGAGGAAAATAATTTTCCTCTTCCTCACTCTATCCAGAATGGTTCTGGGATCCAGCACTCTTATCCCATGGATGCTGTGAGCATCTTTCCTGGTGGTGAAAGTAGGTAGAATGTGAAGCTGCCATTCATGGAGAATGCGTAGGCCTTGGTACAAGGACAATCTCATCATTTATACATCAACAAAATTTTAATTAAAAGTATAAACTTTTGGAATTTGAATTACATAATTATACATAGAATTTTACACCATGAGTTTAAACATTTTTAATTTTACTATGATATATTTACATGATACACCAAAGCAAATACCATTATCATTGATAATATATATGGACATGTCCTATATCAATGTATTTTCATCTACATAATAAAAAGTTGCAGCGTACTAGGAACAAAAGTGCAATTGTGAAGTCTGCAACTTCATTCCCAGGCATTTTTAACATTCAGATGTGAATACTGCATCTCCATAGTGAAATGATCCTTGTAGGTAGTACGTACTTTCCTGAAGTTGTCGAGCCATTTTTCCTTCTTCTTGAGAGCTTGTGCATGTCCTTGGGATTGTTCCTGTTAACAGAATTCAGTCTCTTATGACATAAGTTGATTATGTTTTCCAATATCCCTTTCTAGTAACAATTTTATCCACACAAAAGTGTGATGTATTTTACTACCATTTGTTCCTGTTTACGAGGATCTATGGAATGTAGTAATTCTAATCTACACACATGTAACCTTTAGGTGTACTCAACATAATGCAAAATAAAACTGACAACTGTGGTTTGAGAAGTTGGGTTTTGTATTTTTTGTGGGTGTAAATAGAAACCAAATATGCTGACTGATGTAGTTATGAGATCTTTTAGAGTCAGTATGGTCATGGACTATAGGCTGGAAAACCAGGGTTCAATCCCCTACAGGGGCAAGATGATAATCTTCTCCATTCTGGGGCCCACCCAACCTCCTATCCGATAGGTACTGGGGGTAAAACAGCTGGGGTGTCAAGCCGATTACTCACCTCCATAGAATGCCAAGGTTAAGAAAGATTTAATTATACCTCCATTCTCCCATGTGTCTCCTAGGCTTAATGAAACACGAGGGACTACTTTCCCCGTTTTTACCTTAAAGTTTATTTTCAAGTCCTGCAAAAACGTTTGTACGAGTAATTACTGTTGGTAAATGGCTGTTAACTGGCTAATTGGTAAACTTACATAAGTGAGATAGGGATGTCTCAAATAAAACATATTTTCTTCTTCACGAGCGTAGTCGTTTATCAAATTATTACGATCTTTCGCAGTCACTTCTTTCACAAGTCTATACTTCCTGAAACCAAAGTGAACTGTGATGAAAAAAACAGTATCAGACAAAAACTGCTGTTCTACTTATACCGTTATGTAGCTGCACTACCTTAAATATTACACATACAATTCTGTAACTTTGAACAGTTAGTCCTTAACCTAATACATTTTCGTGAACAGTCAATGGACACAATTTTATTACCCTCTGAATAAATACCCAAGAGGGCGTTTCTTTAAGAGGCAAAGTGTGAGTCTCATTACTACAGAGTAATTTTCAACAAACTGAAAGACCAAACCGATACAGCAATTAAAATAAACAGTAAAGAGATCTGGCACGAACAGATCATCCACTAAACAGACAGCGACATTTTTAAATTCCCTTATCACGGATGGCAGGATAATGAATAACTGCACCTGCGTCACCGTGCCTAATGTCCCGCCAGCAATGTAAGCAGCCAATAGCACTGAGCTGTACACCAGGAAAGGAATATGTTCTGTTTCTAGTGTTGGCCATACCGATAAATTTTGATGTTTGTACCGCCATGAGATGATTACAAATGCTTAGAAAGAGAAAATAGTTATAGTAGTATTTTCAGGTCATAGGAATAAACTGGAAAGGAGTGTACGCAAGTATGTTCATTACAGGCAGCAGCTGCAGAAAAGCGCGAAATTTTGTTTGCCTTTTTGCACAGTTTCGTAACTTCAAGGCATCCTTTGGTTATTTGTTGTGTAATGGAAACTTGTTAGTTGCTGGTTCCAAGCCCGGCCGTAAATCATACTCACATTTTATTCGTTTAAATAAGTATGATTGCCATGGAATGTTGATGTCTGAGCTTCAGAATGATTTCAAGGAAGTACTGAGTAGCAGTATGAGTACGGGGACTTCGAAAGTTAAAGGAGGAGCAGCAAGTGAGCCGCAAGGAATCCACGAAAGTGTCTCCGCACTGCAAATGAGGACCCGAGTTCAGCGGCGAAAAAGACCGCATTTGGAAGAAGAGGATGGAAGAAAACTCGGGGTGTAGTACCATATTAGGTTCTAGATTTTGTGTTTTTGCTTATTTTTTATACAGTCGCAATTTACATCGAAGCCGACTGTCACTTATAACGTAGATATAAGTGAATATTGAGGCAGAATGCGAAGTCAAGTATCCCAGTATTTTCCTCAGATCTTGGAGGTTAAAAGTTCGGGAAATTGGAGCAGAAATAAGTCGCAACATTCTCCACTTATATCCTTACAGCTTTCATGTCTTACCTCCGGATCGGGATTTTTTTTAGGAGAAGGGATGGATACTATACATAACCCACTAATTTTGGTGTCTGGTATAATATCCTTACATTTACAGCTAGTTCATATTTACTGACAAATCTTGATCCCCATCAAATATTCATGAGATAGAAATGTTGGCATAACTTCATGCTCTACTCAATCTTAATAAACGCTGCTATTGTGTGAAATATTTTGTTTAATTTAGTCACGTTAAATAGAAGTTTGGAATGATTTAGAATTCATATACCAGATTCCTTCCCCCAAAACATTCTGTTACTGCCTGAACTCCTCATCCTATTCACTGTAGCCAAGCGTCACCCCTCCATTTTAATTATTCTCCCCAGTTCCTCCACTCACAAATGCATGTTTCGGCATTTTTACCAATTTTTTATTTCTTAGTTGATTATTTAATGTCAGTGTTGGTACTGAGGCTATATAGCATCTAGTTATTTATATTTTACCCCATTATTAACACTGCATAGTTTGAACTACTGATGCTGTTGTTAAATAAACCCCTACAATCACTCCAGCATAAAGTGTTATCAGCATGCAGTTCACATCCAAAAGGTATCTGGAACACTTTCAGAGTGAAATCACCACCACTCTCTCTTTAAAGGGAAGTTTATTAAGCAATTTAACTTACCATAACATTGTATGTGAACTGAACTACAGCCAAATTAAGAACCTAACCTAGAAATTTTAACATGTCACAGACTTGTATGTGAAGTAAAATAGAGGTCAAAGATTTGCAGAAGAATCACTCTTTTATTTCATTGATTCACTTAAGATTAGCCCTGCTACGACTGGATAGGAGCCAGGATAGGGACTAGGCTACTGGCTGGGTTACCAGGGTTCAATTTCTGCCAGGGTTGAATGATTTTTCTCTCCTTCATATCATCCAGACTGGCTGTGGCACCCACCCAGCCTCCTATTCATAAGGTACTGGAGGCTTTATGTCCAGTGTTGGAACTTACCCATAAATGGTGTCAAAATAATTAGTTATATTCTTTTCAGTACTGGAATGTAGTTGCATTTACAACAGCTGAAGAATATGATCTGGAGAAACTGACTAAAGGACTATTACAACAAAATCTGTATGTGCCGATTCCACCACCAAGAGCACTAACAGATCAAAACCAAGTGGGTAAGAGAAGAAATTTGTCATTTTCTAAGTGGAGATTGACAAACAGTTCTTGAATTAAGATTTGACCATGTGTTAAAATGATCTTGGCTTTAAAGCACACTAACTGCATCAACACTATGAAGTCAAATCAAGTCTGACTCTCTAAGGTGCTGCATTACATATTGCAGTCAACCGACATTTCAGAGGAACACTTCGCCTCCATTGTCAGGGTCAAAGAATATGCCAAACGAAACCCGCAAGAAGCAGGTACGACGTGTGCAAGAAGACAGACTTCTCCATCAACACTGCTGTGAGAGCCTCAGATACAACGCAGCCCAATTTGTTTTGTATACAGGTCCTGTATACCTCTGTCATACTGAATGTGTTCAGTAGATTCAAATGGAGGGTCTGCTTTTGCAGTATTTTAGTGAGTCATACTCAGTTCAATCTGACTTGACTCAGTGAAGCTAGTGTGCTTTTTCAGCCTCAAGGCTGATAATCTGCTCTCTACTTCAGCCATTTTTACTCTTATATGTGATGATGAAACATTGCATGACGTTGCACAAAAGTGTATTTTACTGCAGTTCCAGATGTTGTGCATGTAGCAGCTAGGTATGAAGTTGGTGATGAGCCTAGAGAAATCTATTTCTTTCGTGAAGGCACGACTGTCTTTTGGAATGTTCCTGAACTGGAGAGTGGTAATGTCCTCAGCTTCATACGACAGTTTGAAGAAAACAGTTATGATGAACGGCTAGTTCATGATGAGAGTGAGGTTATGCCGTACACTCATGCAGTTGGGTCAGTAAACAGTTGACTTTTAATGTGATTACTATGTACATTTGCTTTATTGGTCATTCTTAGTTAACTTGAATTAGGAAGTGGCTCCTACTACAGTTATTGCCTTATAGAAGGTAAACAAATACTTTTTCCTCATTGTGAACATATTCAATAGAAAGATGTTAGTAGAATGAAACAGTTTGGAAGGTTCCCTGTTTATTCTACTTCCCAAATTCTATTAATTTGAACCAGTAGGTTTTATGAAACATTATATGAACATCATGCCTAGAGGCTGCACTATCATTGTGCTTCCTAATTTCTGTTGTAAGAAATATGGCAGCCAAGCAAATTTGTGAAGTGCGCATGACACTAATGCCACTTAATGTAGGGTTCTGAAATTGTGTGTAGTGTGTGGTCATCAAAATGGCTGCAAGTTTTAATTCGGTAATTTTGCTTAATAATTAAGTAACATGTAAGATTTGAGGTTTTCACAGCTGTGACTATGAAGAATGCCATCTTCTGGGATGTGGAGCCGTGTAGATCTTGTGGGAACCAACGTTTCGGAGGAACATCGGTTCACACAAGATCTACACGGTGCCACATCCCAGAAGATGACATTTTTTCTTGTTAGTGGAAAATCTTTCTTTAGCTTTTGGTTCAGTGGGAATAATTAATGGACCATTGTGGTAGATTACAAAGTCTGCAGGTAATTGTTTTTTCTACATAAACAATTACAGATTTGAAAACTGAGATTATGTGTGACAGATTTAAAGTAGTTGGAATTTGTGCCAATGAAAATTATGGACAGACATGGGTCACTTTGTTAATTTATAATTCTCACTATCCTCTCCACACAGATTGAATCATTTGAAGGAAACTAGGTATTATAAAATCTTCCTAGAACCTTTTGTTGCTAATTGACGGTAAAGATTATGTTGAGTTGCACACACGTATGAACATTTATTGTAAATAGGTAGACATTATCTTAATTATTTTTGCATGCAGTCAAATTAAGGCAGTGAACTTTTGGAGTTTTATGATGGGCTGAATAAATGGTTGTGATTTAGAAAGACAAGAAATACATAACACATTTTTTGGTGGGACTGCCTTCTAGAAAGTTGTTGATTGGAAGACTGAGAAGGAGTTCATGAGATTGCAAAAAGTAAGTTATGAAGATGGGAGGTAGATGGAACAGGCTCAGCATTTTTACAGCTCAATTGAACTGTGTATTAACATGTTGAAATTATGATGAATCATTATATTTGCTTACAGTCGATACATACACTGAAGCTGGGATATTGTAAGACTGTACATATAAGTGGGTTGTTTTGTGCTGCCATCTCATAAAAGTATTTATGTGACGGTTGTGCAAATCAAATCCATTCATGGCACTGCTAATATGTGTCGGGTGACAGTGTCAAAGTGATAGTGTTTGCAACATCAGCCCAGGGAGTTCTTTAGAAGGCAGTGACTGCTGTCTTCTACGATCTAATGCCACATTGTTAGATAGGACTGCCTGACCAAGTACTGAAGGTAGATTGTTGCTTTCCCCATTTCACTTACCAGTGTTGAGACCTGTCTCTGATCTTGTTACCCCATTCTGCCACCATCCTCCTTCAGGACTCTCGGACAGTACCAATGTTTCAGAGGAACTGGGTACCTCCATTTTTGGTGGAGTACATGACAAGACAGTAATCTTCACAGTCATTACTGTGAGGACCTGAAATCCCACAAGAATTTATCTGTCAATTTCTTTCTTATTTTCTTTTAATTTAATATTTGTTGCTGCTGAAAATTTTCTGAAAAAGTAAGGTGAATGCACTTCTTACCAGGCAGGTTGATGTAGCATAACACTAAACTTTTATTCGGGAGTTCCTCAGGTTGAATCTAAGCTGACACACTAGGTATCCTGACTGAGATTTTGGGCGATTTCCCTCAGTACCTCCAAGTCACTTGCAGAATAATATTTTAATTAGGCCGTGACCGCTGTGTTGTAAATTTGTACAACTCATTATTCACCAATCATTTTACCATCTGATATACAGTCTGAGATACTGACAGCAGGATAAATAAGTCACAAAAAGCCACAGTACATCTTGCTTCGAAGGTCTGCATAGCAAGTTTGTTACTGACTACACAGTGTAAGTATTTGTTTCAATTCAACAGACATCATTATGGCATTTTGAGTAATTGTGTAAATAACTGTATTTCAGAAAACAAAGTCACATTCAAGATGGTCATATTATGCTTGGAAGTGAGGGCCAGACAGAACTGGATAAGTACACGTTCTCCAATGTGATGGCTCTGTCTGTAAAGTTGGGTGTCTGGGAAGCATCTCTTAACAGATATGTAGATAGCATCGAATTTGTTATTGAGGTTTGTAATGATCTTTGAAGTTACTCAGTTCTTGTGTGTTCAGAAGCTTGCATACTCTGTAATCCTCATCAGTGATGGTGTGTAGAATGTATTCATTCTCTGGTAGAACTTGAAGATTCGACACTAATAATCCAAAAACCTGCTATTGGCCATGGTCCTCAACTAGTTCCATCCTCATAATCTGTCTCCTAGGATGCATCTCATTGTCCTCCTTTCATCTTGCTCCTGGACTTCCAAGTGGTAATTTTCTAAGAGATGAATGTAGCACTGATGCTTCACATCTCATCAGCAAGATACCAAGAAAGGAGCTGCTGGAATTCAAATTAAATGTATTGCAAAAGAGCAGTATGTTTTGTTTCTTGTATATGTTTACAGTTAAGTTTAATCAGACTTCAAGATGAGGGTAAGCTGTATTGTAATAAAGCTAGTCTCAAAAACAACCCCAAGCATTTGTGGTGCTTTTTCCAGAGTTTTTCCTCAAAAGAGCTGTTTGATGTGAATTTTTTAAACATTACTGGAAAGTGTTAATTTTTTTCTTCATATAAATGATAACAAATAACAGATTGTCTTCAAATTAAAAATGAAATATCACACAGATCTAACATCCCTGAAAGAACATAGACTGAAGGTATTTGAGGACATAGACTGAAGGTATTTGAGGACAGGGTGCTGAGGGGAATATTTGGACTAGAGAGGGATGAAATGGTAAGAGGTTGGACAAAATTGAATGATGAAGAGCTTCGTAACTTGTACTCTTTGCCAAATATAATTTGAATGATGAAGGCAAGGAGATGAGATGGGCAGGGCATATTGCATACGTGGGGAGAAGAGGAATGTGTACAGGATTTTGGTGGGAACATCAGAAGGTAAGAGACCACTAGAAAGACTGGATATTGGTTGGAGGATAATATTAAAATGGATGGGATGGTATGGACTGTACTGATCCGGCTCAGGATAAGGAGGGCCAGTGGAGGGCTCCTGTGAACATGGTAATGAACATTTGGTTCCTATAAAATGTTGGGAAATTCTTAAGTATTCAAGTGACTGGCGGCTTCTTGAGAAGGTCTTAGGTCCATGAAGTAGTTCAGTTAGGTAGGTAGGTAGTTATAAACTGATTTGATTTGCAGCATGAACTTTGTAAAAGGAAATATTTTCTGGTATCTGCTGGCTTTTAAATGTCAGTGTGTGTATAAAATTCCTTTTCCTCACAGGATTTAAAACATGGCACCAAGATTAGTATGTCAAGGGAAGATGTTCTGCGCAAAACAGGTGAACTGTTTTCCTTGCGCCATCTAATAAATTTGAGCTCAGACTTACTAGATACTCCAGACTTTTATTGGGAACATGAGGGACAGGAAGAACTGTACAAAAAAATGTGCAGCTACTTCAGCATCAGCAGGCGGACAAGAGTATGTATACAACCTTGCTGGATATTCTAAACTGAATCTTCATTTCATGCATCCTGTTGTGTTACAATATATAACTTTATTTTTCCGTCACAACACAACTAAGGAGTATCTAGGTATCAGCCGTTAACGGCCGAAACATGTAGTGAGGCATAGCTGGGTATTGACCTAGATACTCCTTAGTTGTTGTGTTGTGATGGAAAAATAAAGTTATATTCTAAGGTCTCTGTTAGGTGAGAAGTTGGTTAATTGAGCGAATAAGGAACTCTGTTTTGTATTGAATAAGCAGTTGTGGACAACTGACAGGGGTTGTTCCTCCAGTTATGGTGTTAGAAGGGGGGTTACAAACCCTCACCATAAAAATCTTACGTGTTATACCAGGCCCCAGGCTTGGCAGATATTGTTGGCATGATCGAACCATGGTTGATGCATGGGAAAGATGAGAAATGCTTATACAATTTTAGTTTGAAAACCTGAAGGAATGTCGCAACCTAGGCTCCTTATGTGTATATGACAAGATAATATAAAAATGAGGATTTAATGTTATTGTAATGGTGGTTATGAAGAGTTCTGTCTTCAGAGGTGTAACACCATGTAGTTCAATGAAAGTCAGCTGATTTTTCATGAGAAAATATTGTCTCAATCTGCATGGTTAAAGATTAAGCCAAGGAAGAAACCAGCATGAACCACTACATACAGGAAATTAATACATTGTTTATATTGGCTTCTATTACAACCAGAAAAAATATTCAGTATATGTGGGGTCACTAAGATTGGGATTTTACTTCATTTATCTGCTGCCTTAGTCACCATATTAGTCAGCAGAATGAATCACTTTGTCTTTTAAATTATGTAGTTCCAGTTTCATTTACCTGTTCTTTATCTCCCTTAGGGTGTATACATTTCAGCTTTTAGTAGAGCCGTTATTTCCTGGGATCTTGCACGAAATGGATGGGTTACAAGCTTTCAGGTCTTGTACAGCATGGATAGCAGCTGAATGCACTGTTGTGAGCATCTCAGAAGTAGGAATTTCCTACTGACTGTAGGTTAAGATGTGTAAATTTTGTTAGTATCGATTCTACCTGTTTTTTATAGGTGATGAATGAGAAGCTGAATCATTGTGTGGAGTTGGTTGAACTCCTGTCATCACACCTCAGCGATCGACATCACATTCGTCTAGAGTGGATGATCATAATACTTATCATGGTGGAAGTTGGCTTCGAGATCATTCACTATGCAGACCGCTACATGTAGCAATTATTGTATGATGTTCTGAATGATTTTCGTATCAGGATACCGTAAAACATCAAGGATCATATTGGCTTCATTGAGAACAGAGTAAGCAGAAGAGATGCAAGTACGTCACAGTTATGATTTAAAAAATTCATTCAAATATGATGCTAGTTACAACACTGTATAAGCGTTATATAGTGTAAAATTTAATTACATGTCAATATAAAAATTAATGTATTTCATATAGTGACAGGTTATTTAATCACTTCCTATATTTTATTTTTACTGGAACCTTGAAAAATGGTTTGTAAGACAGGTTCAGAGGTTTTCTCCTCAAAAATTTGTAAGGCATGTCTCTTAGTTATTTGGAGTTTAATCTCATTCATATTTGTACAGGGTGTTTCACGACTTTAGGGCATAACTGCAGGAGGTGATTTCCTAGGTCTTTGTGACCAAAAAAGTTCATATAAACATGTGTCCAATTTTGGACAGTTACAGAGTTATGACCATTTTAAGCTCAGAATAGAAGGTAACGATTACTGACAATAAACAGAACAAAATAATAAACCAGCATAATACATGAGACATTTACAGTATGAATGTAAAGTTAACTTCGTGAAATTACCTTTAATTTGAATTTATTGGTGCTTAAAGCTGATTTTCGAAAATGCCACCGCCAGCCACAACACAGGCTGCCGCTTGGATGTGAACCGCGCCAGACATACCAACCCACCACACCTTAGGTAGCTCTCAAGTGTCGAGATAACGAGAACGCTCTGTCTGTAGCTGGCTAAAAATAGCGACCTGCCAGCTGACAGACGCGGTTTACACGAGGGCGTGTACGGGAATGAGAAAATGGTCATAACTCTGTAACCGTCCAAAATCAGACACATGTTTATATGAAGTTTTTTGGTCACAAAGACCTAGGAAATCACCTCCTGCAGTTATGCCCTAAGGTCGTGAAACACCCTGTATGTCACAGAATAAAGGAGAGGAAAGAAAAATAAAAGACTCAGAAGGCTGAAACTGTGGCGGGTAGAAAGTATGAGTCTGGATGCGAAGATTTTTGGGGAAAGAAACTGGAGATCAATAGCCATGAGTGGAAATGCTGGTAGAAACTTCTCCAGACGTGGTTCACTGTGGGCCGTAGTGTTGCTGCAGCTGTTATTGATGATGGTGGCATGAGGGATATGAATGTATTGAGTTGGTTCAGTTTCTGTTCCTGTAAACCATATTTCTGTATGGATTTTTATTCATGTGAATTTATGGTTTTGGTTAGTGAGACATACTGTGGAAGGTAATGTTGATATGTACTATAGAAGGTGAACATGTATCAGTGGTTAATTAAGTACCACATCATGAAGATGTATGATGAAGTAGAGGTACAGCTTTATGCATTCTTAACCTCAGAATTACACTGTATTTGTCTTCTTTTTAATGCAGTGTGTATGCACCATTACGTTACTCGATAAAAATTTACACAGTACTCACTGAAGTTCTCTTATAGGTAAATATAAGATTTTGAAGTGGATGGAAAGGGAGAAAAATACATGAGACACTGATGTGTGACTTTTGCTTTCGTCCATCATGTTCCTGCTACAGTCTACAGTAACACGTTCTTGTATGATTGTTTCACCAACAGCGGCTAGTAAAGTTTGTTTATGTTTCAGAAGATAGTATTATTGCTCGTAACAGAACCTAGCATCATGAAAGAGATAATATAATAATAGATGCCACTAATTTTGTTTTATGTTGTTTTGATTTGTAATCTAGATCAAACTTGTTCATGTACACAGTAGTGCCACATAAGGAGAATAACTGAAAAAATCCACTCTGTATCCAAAATAGGTGTTTTTGTTCGGATGAACTTAGTTTTTGAAATTTGGCAGGATGTAACAAAATGTCATCCCATTTCCTTTTCAGTGCAACAGAAACATAAGTGTTGGAGAGTTTGTCTGCCCCTCCAATCATCATTTGAGGTCACTGCTTTATATCTGCAATCTGAGTCCTGTATATTGCTGTAAAATGTGACAAAGGTACTTAACATTGGACTTCTGAAATTTTTAACAATGACCATTGCTTTTGTCATAGGCATGTAGAATATTATGTAAATAATTCTGTAATTTAGGCATGATGATGTTTCATATTGGTTGATAACACTTTTGAAATGCACATTTTAAATCTCTTTCTTAAAACTGAAAACTAGAACAGTTTTTAGCCATCATTGTCTGGGAACAGGGACTTTAAATGTCCTGGTGTTACAAGTTGGCAGTCTAACCATAATACAGGGGTAACAGTTTATAGTCTGATAATAGGGGATTTAAAATGTTCTGGTTCCACAGGGCTGATGACATACTTTAAGTCTGAGTGAATAATAATAATATTGAATGAATGCAACACTCTTGCTACCTGACTGTATACATGTGCCACTACACTAATGCAGCACATGGCCAGTGAAGTTTAACTTACACAGACTGATAGTAAATTTGTGTAGTCATTTTGGTATGTCTTAATTATGGACTGAAGAGGTACAGTATTTACAGGACTAGGTGAGTTCTTGCTGTTAATGGATATATCTGGAATGAGGACTGATCAGCTAGTCACATACAGAACTATTCATGGCAAGGAAAGAATGAAAAAAATGCAGATATGAACAGGACATTTTGACCAGCTTAGCCAGACTTCCTTGCCATTAAATGATATAACTATATCACTTGAGTCTGGTTGGGTAAATGTAAACATACTACTTGTATAAATTTTGTTTCATATTGTTGCACAGGTGAACACCTTATTTCTTTAAGATCCGTTTTCATATTCTTCTCCGAGATTTTCCTGTGAAAACTTTGTATGCATTTATGTTGTCCTCTCCTATCTCATCCTCCTCAATTTGATCATTCTGATATCTCATGAGGCATGCAAGTTACAGACATCTTCATTGTGAATTTTCTTGAACATCCTGTTACTTCATCCATCTTTGGTGCAAATATTCTCATCAACACCTCATTCTCAAACATCCTCAGTTTATATTCTTCCCTTAGTATGAGAAACCAGGAAGCATTGACTTCAGGCAATGACTTCATTAAGTGCCACATGTAAGTAGGATGGAGGAATTTCGTTAGCATTACTAAGAATATATATTGGCTGTTATAGGAAGGTACATGAAATGGAATGAAAGTTAAAGANATTAGCATTACTAAGAATGTTTCTGATGTTATTATCAGGTGAAAATTGTGTGATTGACTTTGGGGGAATGGAAGAGTAGATCTCATTGGCTGTTATAGGAAGGTACATGAAATGGAATGAAAGTTAAAGAGAAATGTTGTCTGTCTGCATCATAATTTTATTTATGAATATGACCAGAGTACTACAGTTTCTTCATGAGATGATCACAGGTCATAAATGGAAGAGTTTAATTCAGTACATTCATTTATGAATGGCAGAAAATGTTCTCATGCTGAAGTTTGTATGTCTTGTGTATGACATTCTCTTTCTCAGCTAGCATGTTGCAATTGAATGTTTGTTGAAGTACATATGTTATGTTGACCAAGTTAGAGGCAGAAAGTATGATGTGATAGGTGGTGCAAAATTGTGAAAAATCACTAAGAATATAAATACAATAGTTTGTAATTCAATTTGTTAATCTTGAGGTTAAATGTACAGGTGTTACAGAAGTTTGAAAGTGGTCAAGAAGTAACTGAGGATGCTCCTGTGTAGGATTTGAGGACCTTACAACAGTGGTTATGAAAGGTTGTTTCTTCTGGTGCATAATTCTGTGTAGTCCTGTGAAAGTCGACTGATGTTCTGGAAGAACTTGTTGATCTTCAGGCTTGAAAAGTAATCTGACCAAGAAACCAGCATGAAGCAGGCAGCAAGCAATGCTGGTTTTTTGCTTGACAAGACATTTGATCCATGGAAAGCTTAGGTTCAGCTCAGGTTATATGTGGTTGTTGTCACAGTATAGAAGGTTGTTCTTGGAACTTGTTCTGGCTCCTCCCTGAGAGTGCTGATTGGATTTTAACATTTAGATTTACTTTGACATTCTGTATTATCACAGTGACCCCTGACGAGTTGGAACAGTTTGTGTAAAGTATTTTCAGCTGTTATCCATTCTTGTCTGTACGTAAGGAGATGACTCATTGAGATGATGCAGATTCCCAGGGCAAAGAAGATCCTGCAGCAGAATATTCAAAATTTATAATAACTAAACATTTCATTACCTGTACAGTGGTTCTTGAAATCCAGAACTAGCTTATATGAAAGGTTCTTTTTCTTTTCTTTGTGCCTCTACTCTTACCTATTCCTCCCTCCTTTGCTGCTCATAACATAGCCCTCGTTCTCTGTATCTGCACACTGTCCCTCTCACTCTCCATTTAGACCATCTCTTCCTCATTCTCTCTGACCACCTCTTACACCCTCTATTTCCTTTTTAACTTTCACTCAACCTCTTCTCCCTTTCCTTACCCCTTATATTTTTTACGTTTTCTTCACTACTTCCTTCTCCTCCTCACTATATCTTTTCATTTTCTCTCTCACTTCTCTCTTCTTTCAACACCCTTTCTCATATTTCCATCTCTTCTGCTCTCCTACTCCTACCTCTACTCTCCTTTCTCTGCCTTACCCCATTCCCCACTGTTGGTATTACATACACTACCTTTTCTCTCCTTGCTTCCCCCTTCACCCTCTGTCACCATATCTTCCACCTCCTACATACCACAATGTTCTCCATCATTATCTGTGCTCCATCTCCCTACCCTTTCTCTATCTGCTTCTCAGCTCTCTACCATTCTTCCTTCCTCTCACAGATTGTTTCCCTTCCTCCCATTTGAAAATATCTACCCTTATCTCTCTTACTTCTATCCTTTGTCTCACATTCCCTGCCTGTCTTTCTTTACCTCTCCCTGCCACTACCCCCTCTCCACCAGTTTTTGTATTCCTATTCTGTACCTGTCTCAAGCATTGTACAGCGACTTAAAGTGTTGGTCACTGAATGAATCCAGTAGCTGTGTAATTGATGTAGCAAATTGTAGTAATACTTGTAGTACAGAGATAAACACAATGATATTACTTTAAAATAGACTTCTGTTGCTTCCTTTCACATGCTTTCCAATCCATTCACAATTATTTTAATATCTGATATTATATGAGCTCCATGGTTAGGAGAATGCTCTGAAATAAACTAGGGAGTGTAAATAGACTGGTGAAGTAAAAGTTATTAATGCACCCAGTATGTGATAGTTTTGTGGTTATAACAGAATTATTTGTCATTAAAACACCAAGTAGGGCAAAATGTTCAGTTACTGGAATGGAACTTTGGAATTTATAGATGTATGTGATGTAGCATGAGGGATGTTACAGTGGTTAGAAGTGTGAGAGAAGAAACTCTGGGTAAGAGTTGTACGTGGTAACTGACACGTGTTAAGAACGAAGGCTCTTGGTTTCATGGGGACAGTAACAGACAAATAACCGCTGGAAAGTAATCATTGTGCATTGTCAAGTTGAGCAAAACATACACACTTTGTTACCTGTACACTTTCACAAGATCCATGAGCCCTGATCGAATAAGGAAGAATCCAAACTTGAATGAAGCAGCATAAAGTACATGAACTCCTGACTCTGACAGTGCATATACCACTGCATACACTTTAGCATGCTTCTTTCTGGCACTGCAACATAAAGATCCAAATTGAACTTCGTGAGTCCTACACCAAGTACCAGACATAAGTGGAAGTCTGTTACAATGTTCTGTTCTCAGTTCCTGGTTCAGTATACTATAAGAACAAAAGTATACTTAGGGGCTGTCAACACAGCAATTGGTTATAAACTGATATTAAAATGGTTAATATTTGGGTTATTTCATTTCCATCCCATTGCATGTTTTGATCTATCAAGATCATCAGCAGGTGGTTTTCACGAATTATGTATGTTGTTACAGAAGTATTAAATAATTAATTGTTGTGTTGATGGCCCTTAAATATACCTTTGTTACATCATATACAACAAAATGCAGAAAATGAAGATACTCTAAGGACAGAAAGACATTTGGAAACCAAAATGTATTAGGAGGTTCCCCTTTTCCTTTCTTATTTAATGAAGTTGTTGGACATAATATAGATAGATTTGGGTGCTGTGTGTGTGAAAATAAATTGTATACTTTTTTCATTAGCATAGTCAGCTTCTGTAGGGAAACTTTAATTAAATCTGTAACACCAGTAGAATCTGAAGGCTCAAAATCTCTGATACCAAAGCTTTTAATGGGGCATAATCCAGAGCCAGTTCCATCCACTTCCCATCTTCACAACCTGTATCCATAAGATCAAACTCAATATTATTCTCTGATCTTATTGATCTTCCAAGTGACCACTTTCCAAAAACTGTCCACTCCAAAATTCTATATGCATTTCTTCACTCACCCATACATGTTACATGACAATATTATTGAAATTTTCAGTACTCCTTACAGTACTAGGTTACATTTTTAAGCCACAGAACTCTTTGCTATTTAATATCTTAAATCTCCTCTTTACATCATTCCTGTTAAGTTACAAGCAAGTTCTCTTTCCTCAAAATAAAGAGACACCATATCACCATTCTAATATCAAGTTCCAGAATGATCATTTCATGTATATGAATATATATCTTCTGGTTTCGGGGAAATTTTTCATCTTAAGAGCAAGTATTTCCTGCATTTGATCTCTTTCTTTCATTATGAACCGTTTTCTAGGTTATCAGGCGAGGGGACATTTTATGGGCTTCCACAAATATAGTTTCTTATCACTGAATGCTTCTTTTGTTTAATATATGAATGTGTTGTTTATATGAAAATGTTTTAAAAATACTACATTTGAAACAAACCACTCACTTGTATGGTGCTCTTAATCTTTTGGAGTACAGGTCTCTAAATATTTCTTCTCCTCCCATTGCCCGTATAGTCCGTATCTTTTGAATGCATTCTGTTACCACCTGGTATTTAAAATGAACAGTAATGAATACACAATAATCATGCAGGATTTGAATGATAATGAAATTAGATACTTTGATAAAATATGCTAGGTTAGGTATCTTGAAGTAAATGTCCGTTCACAGGCTTCTGGTTTTCTCGTCTAGATATTAAAAATCAGGAACAGAAAAATAGAAGAAAGTGCTGCACCTCTTGTGAGTAAACATGGTGTATGTGCGTGTGAATCTCAAGCAGTGCTATAGAGACCTAGAATGTTCCTGAAGAAATTTTTCCAGTAACTTCCTTACAAATTTACCACAAATTCAGTTCCATTGCTTTTACATCCTCACCATACATGCTTTATCTGTTGTTGATGATTTTCCAAACACACACAAAAAGTAAACCAGCTTCCATCCTGGGATTGGGTACCTCAGGCAAATCCATATTGGACAACTTAATGTAAGTTTTGATTTCTATATGTAATAATACAAATGCCGTCATGAATGCAACAATTTATTTGGTTGTAGTTCTTCGTCTTTTCTTCCTCTNGCGTATGTTGGCGAGATTTTAAACAAAACTGACAGGCTGTGTTTTAGATTATGGATTGTATGCAGTGTGACAGCTACATAGTGAAAAATACACCTGATGATGGCCAGTTACGGCTGAGACATGTAGTGTAGCGGAAGAAAAGACAAAGAACTACAACCAAATAAATTGTTGCATTCATGACGGCATTTGTATTATTACATATAGAAGTGTATAGTGCAACAGGCTGCTTAAATATAATAAGTTTTGATGTTGTGCTGCTGTGTAGGGGCATTGTAATTGCAACACATGGCAGAATGAGTCAGTCACTACTTCACTGAACTTAGTATAATGGTGTAAAACAGTGGTTCTCAAACTTTTGGGGGGCCACCACCTTCTTGGTTCCATAAACTCAATCCTAGTGCTCCCTGCCCTACCCTATAAAAGAATTCCTGAGAATAGCAGTTTGCACAACCCACTGAGGAAGATAACAGTAAAATAAGATACCACATTTAGTAATTCCTTCACTGTTAGTAAATTCTTAATATTATGAATGGGCCTGATGAAGTGATACCAGTTTCCCTGTGTCTGATCTAAAGTCACTTCAGTCATAAATAAGCAATCAGTACACCCAAAGGAGCCCACATCCTGCCCCCCCATCACCCATTGCCTCTTAGTGCACCCTAGGTAATCCCACCAGCCCCCCAGGGGGCAGTGGGCACTTTGGGAACCATTGGTGTAGACAAAAGATGATGCAGAAGAGATGCAAGTGTCTTGGAAAAAATAACGTAGTGTTTGTTGTCATGTACAATACCAGAGGATGTTTGGCAAACTGCATATGTTCAAACTGCCCATGTTCAGCAAGTAATTACTCATGGTTTTTGTGTGTGTGTGTGAATAAGAAGATCCATTGGATAGGCATTGGTTGGATAAGGGTTAACTCTACTGACATGTTTTGTGTCTCACCATACCAAAATTTGCATGTGCAGTTGCAGTGGCTAAGTAACATAACCTTACTTACATCATTAGCAGGTTGCATGAGTCTGTGGCGCTTCTGTCGGTGTTGCTCAACTGTCCTTATCTTGAGATGGAATGCTATAGCAATGGCAGGAAACACTAGCAATAACACCATTTCCATTTTCCATCCATGCAGGAAGGCAGCTACCATGGCTGCTAGCAGACTAACACCAGCCCCAGTTATTTCGCAGATTCGCGACGTTGTGGCCTTAAATGACGACAGATTTGAAATATTCCCAAAGTTGAAAGTGTTAAGGTTACTGTCATATGAAGGAGAACCAATCCATTCTTTCGTTTTGATTTATTTAACATTTTTCAATTTGCTTGTCATCAGTAGTACAAATTGATAGGACAGATAGTGAATAATGAATCAGGAAGGATGTGGAAGGTAGCAGTCCCAGTCTTATTTTTAAGGTAATNCTGAATAAGAAGATCCATTGGACAGGCATTGGTTGGATAAGGGTTAACTCTACTGACATGTTTTGTGTCTCACCATACCAAAATTTGCATGTGCAGTTGCAGTGGCTAAGTAACATAACCTTACTTACATCATTAGCAGGTTGCATGAGTCTGTGGTGCTTCTGTCGGTGTTGCTCAACTGTCCTTATCTTGAGATGGAATGCTATAGCAATGGCAGGAAACACTAGCAACAACACCATTTCCATTTTCCATCCATGCAGGAAGGCAGCTACCATGGCTGCTAGCAGACTAACACCAGCCCCAGTTATTTCGCAGATTCGCGACGTTGTGGCCTTAAATGACGACAGATTTGAAATATTCCCAAAGTTGAAAGTGTTAAGGTTACTGTCATATGAAGGAGAACCAATCCATTCTTTCGTTTTGATTTATTTAACATTTTTCAATTTGCTTGTCATCAGTAGTACAAATTGATAGGACAGATAGTGAATAATGAATCAGGAAGGATGTGGAAGGTAGCAGTCCCAGTCTTATTTTTAAGGTAATATCTCAGTATTTGTCTGGAGGGACTGGAAAGACAGGAAAACAACAAAAAAAAAACAGGATAACCTGTCTCTGTGCTGAGATTTGATCCCTGGACCTCTTGAAGATGAAACAAGACTGCTAACTATGTGATTGAAATATTCAGTATGATTAGTCTTATTTATGTCTTTTCTCTTAGGTGGTTTTGCTAAACTTCATTCTGAGGTAATCAGCTTGTTAAATAAACTAATCTAAGGCAGAACTTATCACTACTATAATCTAAAATTTGTTACTGACATTTTCTCCACTCCAGATATAATGATTGTCAAGCACAGCAGGTACACTGTTAGATTCTGGCCAGAACTGTATATCATGACATTCTTGTAGTTTCCATTAGACCCTTACTGAATTACTTAATTTAAATTTTCCTTGCATCATTGTGGTTATTCTCATAACTCCCATTTATTATTAACATCAGTATTCAATACACTGTAATTAATATGAGACAGTGTGATTACTCTTATTGTTCTGGCAGATGTCTGCTGTATTGAGGGTTGTTGACAGGGTGAGGATACAGGTACGCTATGAAGTGAACATGCTTCTATGTAGCTTTTTAGTTGATCTATCACAGCAACTCACTTATAATAAACAAACAACTGAAGGCACAAATATATTGATGAAATAAGTTCTGTTTACTAATAACAAATGCACAGACTATGTTAAGTTTTAAATGCTAATTTTAACTGTAAGTCTAAGAATGGAAATAAATTGCAGACTTACTTAATTTAATAATCAATCCAGTATATTTTATAATATTGTAATCTTGAAAAAGGTTGTACAAGATGGGACTAAGTGCAATGGATCCACTGTAAACAAGCAGCCCAATAACTTACATTGACACATTTTAATGTTTTAAATGCCCAGTGATGATCACATATGACTGAAACATGTAGCATATATTGTTAGTAAATACAAAGTGGTTTCATCAATAAATTCATGCCTTCAGTTGTTTATTTACAAGTGAGTTGTGATAGATGGACTAAAAAATACACAGTAGTTGACATACACAATAGGACGCAAAACACACATATAAAGTGAACATGCTGATTACTGGATCTCCTTGTTAGATGTTTTCAGATTATCCTTTTGTATTTAAATTCCATTTCAGCTCACTATGGGAATGAAAGGTCTCTTCTTAGGATTCATGAACATGATGACTGGATTGGCTGCGTGAATAGTTCATCCATAGTGACAGTTGTTAAAGCATTCCAGACTTCTGCATATGTATTTGACAAGGAGATGGGGCTGTCCATTAACTGATAATGGTTCTATAAAAATACATTTTTTAAACTCATAATGAGTCTCTCATGTAGGAAGGGGAAGAACAGGAAGAATTATAATGTGGCCTCTTTGTATACCACATCACACCTACTGTTTGTAGATACATGAAAACTAGGGTGAGGTCCCCCCCCCCAACTCATGTGGAAGAGTTGAATGATCTGTAAAACATAAGGATTATTAGGTTTCTGGCTTTTCACTGTCATATAGTGTTGCAAACAGAACACAGTATTTTGGAAACCTTACCGATGAAAGAGATTAGCTCTTTCCAATATGCCCAGCTAAGTAGGTGCCTTTTCATTTTTTCACTTGAGAATATAAAATGGACCCAAGTTCTGTAACATTTTATTCTCTTTGGAAAATCAGACGATGAACTGAGTCCAGAACCCAGTGATCCTGAGTATAATGTATCATCATCGGAACTCTTT